GAAGTTGTTCTGGATTTTCTCCTTCAGACTAGTAATCTGATGATGTAGGATTTCTATTTCTTCGTCTACCACAAAATCCCACCATTTCCGAATATGATACCCTTCATTCTACACAAAAATACCCAAGAATTATCATAAATATTCTTCTATTTTTCTCAGAAATATGATCTAGTAATTATGCAATCTACTAAACTCACATCACGATTGCGACAGGTGAAGTATCGCCTCCCAGGATCGATTGAGGTGTAGGATGTCTCGGTGAAAACGGCTCCACCGCAGTAACACTTTTTGGGCATTCCATATTCACCATCTGCTATGAGGCATGGATCCAGCTCAGCTGACGATTCGGAACTGGTCACCGGACTGAATCTTCCCATTTCTTCGAATTTCTGAAAGTAAAATTGAAACTGAACTGAAATCGAGCTAATTGGAAAGCAAATCGGAAATCGAGCTAATTGGAAAGCAAATCGGAATTCGAGCTAATTGGAAAGTTTTACCTATTGAATGAAGTTGGATCGTCCCCCTCTCTCTCTATCTCTCTCGACCTCTCTCTCTGCTCCTCTCTCCCTCTCTCTCAGTCGAAGTCGAAGAAGAAACAGAAAAAGTATCAAAAAGTAACTAGGGTTTTCAGAAAAATAGTCGGACCCTGATTTTAATTAAAAAAAAATCTATTATTTTTTATTTTTTTCCCGCTGGCGGAAAACTCAAAATTGAGTAAATTTACCAAAAAAATTGAACTTAGTTGTCCCCAAGGAAGTAGTTGAACCCAATTCTTAATAGTTGTACTTTTACGATTTTATTGTATTTCTAGTTGAACCTTCCTCTAAACTATTATATTATAGTTGTATAAATGACTTTGGACCATTAAACATCATTTATAACGTTTTCATACTGCAATATATGAAATATTAAATATTTTGGGTTTTTCAGTCCTAAAAGGCTTAACATTGGTGATGTCTTCCTTATATTGTAAAGGGTGGTTGATGTGAAAACATGATTTTGTATAAAAATAAAAAATTAATGTTTACCATATAAGTAATTGTTTCCTTATAGTTGAAAATGTGTTGATAGGTCTTAATTGGTATATTCACATCACTTGAAGCTTTAATAATAGTTTACTGCACTTCAAAAGTTGATATTAGCTGTACCCAGTTGCACAAACACGTCAACGTTAAAAGTTGTACTCAGTTGAACTTGGTAGTTATACGTGAAACCAGTTGAACTTGGTAGTTATACGTGAACCCAGTTGAACTTGGTAGTGCGAATGGCAACACGTAAACGTTAATAGTTGTACCCAGTTGAACCTGAAAGTGCGAATTTGACAAAATGAACTTCAAAATTGTTTATACTTGTACCTAGTTAAACCTAGTCATACAAATTCACCAAACTCAAACACAGAAAGATTCATAGTTGTACATAGTCTAACATGGTTGTTCAAAACCGAAAATTACAAAACACACACATAAATCAAACTGAGCTACCACTTTGGCTGCTCTGAAAATAGAAAGCGAAACCTCTGCCAGACACAGACCTGTTACTTGTCTTCCTGCGACGTTCTCCAGTGGATGGAAAGCGGTTTTCTTGATTTCTTCCTGGCATTTTGGTGTAATCAGGCGGAAAAGCAAACTTATTTAGTATTTCCTCTGGAATACTCCAACAAGACTCATTCGGCACTGGATAAATCGTCTTGTAGTATGCCAATGCCCACGTATCAATCAAGTAATATCTAGAGCATAAGTCGTATAGACTAATATCCGCTGTTCTCCCTCCCTTCTTCATCAGTGCTGCGGTTGCAGCGATTGCATGAACACAAGGATACTTGTCTATATCCAACCCTCTACATGAGCAAGTTTTGCTCGACAAATCCACCAAGTAAGCCTTCCCATCGAGTCCAATAACTGTGTATTCGAGTTGGAAGCTGTTTAGCTCAGCCACAGCTAAACGAGCAGCAATTGGATATAGTTCATGCAATTTGTTATCCACATAAGGCACCACTTTCTTTGACATCGGCATATCAGCAGCAGTCTTCCTATGCTTGTTAAACCAATATGCCATTTTCTCAACAATCGCATCAATCATTGGTAAGAGAGAGTACTTTCTTACTTCCTTAAACACACTATTGAGAGATTCACAAGAATTGCTGGTGTCTAAATTGTACTTGTCTCCTTTAAAGTAGCACCTTGCCCACTTATCCAACGGTACAGTCTCATGCAAATACACAGCAGCTGCAGGAAACCTCTTCTTAAAATCAGCATACTTCCTTTCGAACTCACTCACAGTATAAATATGAGCGCATTGGATAAATTTTGCCGCCACTAAATCTTTGTTCACCTTATGCTGAACTTTACCTCTCACGTTTTGAGACAAATGCCATATACAATGTCCATGCTGGGAGTGGGGATACACCTTTGCTACTGCATTTATGATGCTTTTATGTCTGTCACTCATAAAAACTAATTCAGGATCATCAGGTATAACGATTTTCAGCTTTTCAAAAAACCACATCCAGCTGTCATGCTTCTCAGTATCAATTACACCAAAAGCAATGGGGTAATGGTGATGGTTAGGATCCTGAGCTGTGGCAAAGACAAGCTGTCCACCATATACAGTCTTCAGAAATGTTGCATCCACAACTATCACTTTCCTCATTGCTTGAAACCCTTCAATGCTAGCGCCCAAAGCAATGAATAGGTACTTGAACTTTTTCTCTGCATCCAATTCCACACTTGTTACGGTTCCAGGATTTACCTTCTCCAGCATGTACAAATAAGAGTATAACATCCTATAACCTTCTTCAGGAGTGCCCCGCACATCACTAACAGCTAGTTTTTTTCCTCTTAAGGTGGTAGAGTAGGACAAACTAACATCAGCTCTACTCTGAACCAGATTCACGATATTTTTGGGAACTGGGGTGTCAAATTGACCCGGATAGTCTTGCTGCAAAACAGATGCTACTAGTCGTGGGGTGCCTCTCCTTCTACTAGTGCTTGTACTCTCAACGGCCCGAGAGCATGTATGCATCTTTCTATATACTCTAACACTGAAATAATCCGATTTCTTAAACCTTGCAGCTCGTAAATACCATTTACAGCCTTGATTCTTCTGACGGCATTCTAGAATAAGTCGCCTTGTATCTGACTTATAAGTATGGACCCCAAAACAGTTCTTATGTGCAGCTCTGTCAACCAAATCTTGCACTGCCTCCTTAGAACAAAATTCTTGACCAATTTCAAGACCTGTACCATCTTCCCATTCTTCAACACATTGACTAACTTCTGCAGAACCTGGAAGCTCAACATATTCATGCATACCATCGAAACCGTTCTCCATATCCCCATTAGTAAATTCATTACCATCGTTCTCTGTCACCTCCTCAATAATCGGCTCCCTACGTTCTTCTCTTTCCGAGACTGCTCTATAAATAGTAACCGCATTACAGACATCATCATCAGCTCTACCATTTGCAACCGGCTCCTCATAATTCACACCAAATGAACTACCCACTTTGGAAGCTTGCTCACTCCTACCCGCTTTAGAAACTGAATTTGTTTCTAAACCTTTGACTACTTCCACATGCAAAACAGATCTTAGCCCCTCGTTATCCACCGTTGTTAGATAAGCATATACGTCATCATCAACGAAAATTTTTGTCTCGTTGATCGGTTTATTTACCAACGGAATGTAACTCAATTTCAGGTGTGCATTAGCTCTATCTATCCCAATCTTACTGCATATCTTATCTACTAACACCGAGTAAGTTATCTCTTCCACAGATAAGTTCCTAAATGGTATAACATAGGTGGAATTACTTGTAAACCATTTCAACTCCCCTCCGTCACGTGAATAAATCCCTCCATAGTCAAAATATATGTTTGTGTGGTTGGTGCTCATGCTCTCCTGAAAATATAATGAAAATAGTCGATCAGTTGAACTCAATTGAACTCAATTGAACAAAAAGTACCACAGTTATACCAGTTGAACTCAATTGAACTACATTGAACTCAGTTGCACCAGTTAAACTACACTTCTCATTTGTACCACGTGTACCAGTTGAACCCAATTTAACTCAGTTGTACCAGTGCAGCTATACCTCATGTACCAGTTATACTAGTTGAAATCAGTTGAACTAAAGTGAACTCAGTTGTACCAGTTCAACAACACCTCTCATTTGTACTAGTTGAACTCAATTGAACTAAATTGAACTCAGTTGTACCAGTTGAACTATAGCTCTCATTTGTACCAGTTGAACTTAAGTTTTCAGTTGTTCCAGTTCGCTCTCAGTTGTACCAGTTGTACCATTTTTTCCTATCAAAAATCTGGGAATTTCGAGCTCGACTTTCGTTGTTCTTCATTATGAATCTGATTAACATAACCACGTTCTTCTCACAAATTACCGAACCTATGGCTTAATCTATCCATAATACATTGTTACCAACCCAGATCCCTAATTTTTCAAATCTAAAGCCCTAATTTTACACTCTAATTGAAATAAAAGAAATCACCTTCAAAATATGAGATCTTCAACAATGGCAGAAAGATGACTGGAATTCTGGGGCGGACGAAGTGGAGAAAGCATCGATCTACGTTGGACGAAAAGAATGACGGAAGAAGGAGCTCAGGGAAGAAGCTTGGAAACCAAAAGTAAGCCCGGGTGAGAAGAGAGAGGAGGAGCTCGAGCTCAGCAACGCTGCGGGGGAGGAGGGGGATCGAGATTCAATATTTTTTTTTTTTTTCAAAATTATTTTTTTTACTTTTACTTCTTTTACTTCTTTTACTTTTACTAATTTATTTTTACTTGGTTAATTTCAGTAACTTTGACTAAGGATTGATTTGTAATTTCACATCTCATTTAAATGAGAGAATGGCATTAGATCATGAAATGGCAGTCCAGATCAATTTTTCTACCAAAATGGCATTTCATCTCTTAGCCCGATCTTTTTGGAAGATGGAGCAACATCTTTTACCATTCAGTTTTAAAATTATAACTTTTAAAATAAATCTTTCGAATACTATCATTATCGTTTGAAACTCTTGAGTAATTGGAAGGGAAGAAAGTAGACCATCATCATCTGAGAGTTTAATGCGGTCAAAGATGGAAATATGAAATTGAATATCTTAGATAAATCACTGTTGACTTATCTTCAGCAGAGTAGACCAATCCCAAACCCTAATTCTTGTTTACAAAGTGGGATGATCTTAGCAAGTAGAGAAGCATCAAAGACATATAGTATGATTTCGCATGTGAGACTTATGGAACCAATTTTACAAAGTAGCTTATGGACCTTGATCATCTTGTAGCCGGCTTTGGATATCTCGCCTTAGCAACTCCGCATATTCCTGCAATCCACAATAACAAGGGGAATTTTTATTTGAAGTAAAAGGTATAATAACATGAGCAATCAATAGCCTCTTTGATGCTTACATGAGCAAGAACTTCATCATCGCAGAGCTCGTTCGCAAGGTCTTCTTGACTCATGGCAGCATTTTCGACAATTGCACGGAAGACATCTTCGGGTGGATCAGAGTGCTCAATCATTTGCACCATGGGTTCAACACTTGCCTAACAAAAATACATTCATTACACAAAGTTGAGCTATAAACAGTGCCGTTTCTTGAGGCTCATGTAATCAATCCAGGCAAACAAAACCAGGAAACAGATATAAACACATCCGAATGGTGTTACGCTGGAAAAACAAAACCCAAACTGAAACCACACCAAGTCAATCGATAGATGTATTACCTGAAAAGGCTGATGATCATCAGGCTGTTGTATCGCGGGTTCAAGTGATGGCCCTCCTTGGTTAAAAGCACGTGACACTAGAGGCATCATTTGCTGAACCATTCTAGAGAAATCAAAGCCACCGCCTTCACCCTGAGCTCCTCCTGACATCATGTTCTCTATCTCTTGACCATCCACCTGTTGAGCAATTTGTTGTACTGTGTTCATAATCTGCGGGTTCTGGGTAAACTGTTGCAGCATATTTCTCAGCATATTTGGGGAGTCCACACCAGCTTGCCGCGATACCCCTGCTAGCAATCCATCCAATACAGGGCTCTCCAGGACCTGAGACATTGCACTTGAGACATCTACCCGATCATCTGAACTTTGCCCACGTCTCAGACCAGTCTCATCTGAGTGAGAACTACCAGAAAAGAGAGATTGCAGAAGCTGCTGGCCACTGGTCCCAATGCTCTGTTGAACACCTTCCCCCGAAGTAGAAGTCCCACTTAATGGCTTGGGCTGCTTGCTTCGTTTCTGCAACAAAGAAAGTCTGTAAGGATTTGGAACAACAATATCTCTTGTGTGCTATGCAATGGAAAAAAATAAAAATAGCAAACTCGTTCATTACCTTACGGTCCAAACCCCCAAGTCCCAATCCAAGTGGTGTAGCTGTAGCTACCTCTGAAGTAGCATTCTTGGTTGATTTGGCATCACCGAATGAATCATCTCTGTAGCTTGCGGATTCTCCAAACGGTGATGAAGATTGTTCTGCAGTACAAGAGATATCTTTTGCACTGGCTGGATGTCCTAAATCTTCACAATGCTCTTTATCACTCTGACCCTGGTTGATAAAACGTAGATTTGTGATAGGCAGAAACGTAATGAACAAGAAATAAAGGATCTCAGATTGCAGAGAAGACATACAGTCGAGTTTGTCCTCTCAGATGCTAAGCCATGCAGTGAGCGGCTTGACTCCTCAGCTGTGCTAGTAGCCGCAATGTTGGTTTGCTGCTCAGGCGTAACACTTGATACACCATATCCCGGAGACATATTTGGCTCGAGCGATTCTGTACCTAATTGAAACGTGAAGAAGAGCTTAAAAAACATCTCATCCACAATGTAAACAATTTAGTTAGAAGGAAACCTACCCGATGGAGTCTGGTTTCTTCCTTGCATATTGTTCACCACATCTCTAATTCTTGCATTGATTTCAGAAACTGAAACAGAACCATCCGAAGCAGGTTGAACCCCAGCAGAAGGAACATTCTCACCGGTAGAGCGTGATGGACCACCAGCAGCAATGATGTTTCTCACCGGGAGTACCCGGACTGAACTTGCATTGCTGTCACGGTCTCCTTGTCCCCCTTCTCCATTACTTTGATGGTTTCCAACTGTGCCTGGTAATGAAGAATGAAGCTTGTTGGAGAAGAAATGTGAAGCTAGCTAGAATGGGGAAAAAAAGTGAACTTCACTCACCAGCATGTATGTGAATGTTAATGTGCCTTTGGGCAGTTCCTAAACCAACTGATCCGGTTCCTAAACCAACTGATCCGGCTGCTGGATTTGATGAGGCAGCCAAACCAGTAAAGAGGGGGCTGGTTTGATGAGGAAAAGGCTGGAAAAAAAACAGTAGAAAATTACATACGAGTAACAATTACTTTAGAAAATAGATGAGACAAGAAGCTAACCTGAACCATAATAGGATTCGGTCCTGACGGAGATATATAAACAGCAGGCCCAGCATTCACATAGGATAATTCCTGTAGATTACCCTGCTTGTGAGCCGCAAGTCAAGAAAAATTGAAACAATCACGAAAGGAAATGACCCAAAACGTACCGGAGACTGTGACATTCTCAGTGTCAGTATCGTGCGCCCAAGCTCCAGTAGGAGGGCCCCTAAATGTTGCATAGCAAGACCAACTTGCACTGCCTCTGTCTGGATTTGTGCCCTGAGAGCAGGATCTGAAGAGGACCCATCCTGCTCCAAACGTCCTGCAATACCCTACAACAATGTTGTTGCAAATTACAAACAACGCATAATTAGATGACAACGCATCCTAAGTATACTTGGCAAGTTCCCGATAATGTAAGCCAGAACAAATAGCAGTCAATCTACTAAGGAATATTGAAATCAACAAACAAGGAGTCTGAAGGAGGTGTTTACCGATAAAGAAGATACAGCTGGGCCACTCAGTAAACGCTGTGCATTCCTCATGACAACAGAGAGTGCTTCAGGCGTTGATGGACCTCGTCTATTTCTAGGCAATTCTTCCCTTGGCAGGCCTCCTGATGTAGCAGGAGAGGTATCTGACTGATTGCCTGGAGGAACACGAACACCTGATTAACTTGTTGATGTGTTTTCCATCCAACATAACAATAAAAATTAGATCAATACCATTTTGTGATAGTGCCTGCTCCATCCGATTAATGAACTCCAAAATAGTGTCTAGCGAATCCGGGATAGGCTGCATAATTAGAAAGTTAGATTGTAAAATTACAAGATTAAAGCTCTTGACTCGAGATCACAATACTACGTGACTAATAACTACCATGTGAAATGAAGGAATAGGAATTGTTGTTGCTGCTGTAACCGGAATCTGAAATATATGAGGCATCGATGCTTGAAATGTTGCTCGAGGAAATGCTTGCCTAGGTAGTGAATGACCTGCCGCTTGGCTTTGACCACCGATGCCAGGCGCTCCATCAGATGTATTTACAGGAGGAGCATGACCAGACAAATTCGACTGGGGGAAAGAAAATTGCATGCAACATTGAGTTTAAAGAACACAACTGTGGATGATAGTATCAACTACATCTAACGAAACATACACATCAGAAGGAAACAACACATGATGATGTAAATAAACTTCCAAGAAATATTTCCACAAGAATGAAAAAACGCAGCAAGTAGAACAAAATGGTAGTCTAAGCACTAATTAAAAACTAAATGCGAAGTAGAGACTGAAAAGAAAGCAACTTACAGGCGTAGATGACTGCGTGACATTAGTACTGTTATTTGTAGGCTGCTGCCCGCCAACTCCAAAAGAATTTAGAACTGATCCAATGACCTAAGTAACACAAAAGTGAAAGCAGGTTAGCCACGTCTTTCACCAAATTTATCTCTATCACTGATCCAAAGCCCAATCAAACTATCCAATAGGACAAACAATACACTTCCCGAAAGACACCTACTATCACAAGTGCTTAAGAGTTACCTGGTTGATATCTGGAACAATCCCATTAGTCTGGTCTGCAAGATTATAAGTCCCAAGAACTACGCTGTGGGAGATGTGTCTCCGATTTAGAGATGGTCCACCATTTGTACCATTTCCTGTTGAATTAAATAGTAAGTTTAAATTAAGTTTCTAGAAACCAGATATAAGCTGTGTTATTAGCTCCATCAAAACACATACAAAAAGAGGGGATATGAATATAATTACCATCATTTGCAGTTGCTCCTTCTGAAGGTGTACCAGATGATGGAAATGATTCTGCTGGCTGCCTCACAATCAAGTGTAAAGTATGCCCATTTTCCAAATCTAAGAAGACGTCAAGTTATTAACAATACCGAAGTAAACAAATGATGGACGGAAAGGACAAACAGAAAAGGGTTGTATATGTATATTTTCAAGATTACAGCCTCCTCTGCAGAGTAAGATTCATAGTAGAAATCATCACAAGTAGAAATCATCCAAAATATATATCAATAAATGAGCAGCCTTATTTTTCATGCCTAAACAAAATCCCCAAGCGATACGTCATAACGCAGAAATGCACCCCAAACAACCAAATCATAGACTTCCGAAGGATTTTGGAAAATATGCATTTATAGGCACTATAACAAAAGTTCTACAAGTTAATATAAGTAGCTAGCAGTAGGATACGATATTCAGAGAGAGGGTGGTCATCTTTCAAAACCCGTCCCCGGAAAATGAGCCTCTGCTGAGCAACCGGAACTCCTATCTCGCTAGCTATCTTCTCCTTAAATGATGAAACAGTTTCCTGAAACAAGCCAAGCCCAAATAGTGCTAGACAGCTTAAGAAAATATGCAGGTGAAAAGCTGTAAACATGATCATAACACATAAAGAAAGATAGACTTCTCACATTCTTGTTCACTTGGAAAGTATACGTCTGCGAGTCTAACGTCTTGATGTTAAGCTCAACAGTTGATTCTTGTGTTTTCTCCGATGCATTGTTGCTACTTGAGCACTGATTAGAGGCTTTATCTTCCATGAACCCTCACAGTATCTCAACTCTATAAAAAAAACACAAAAGTTCACAACTTTTAACATATTAAACCGATAAGGAAAAACAGAATCATCAACAACATGAGAGAAACACGAATCAAAGGACCTAGACATCAATGTAAGTCATGCTAATACCACTCATTTCACCTTCAAACGCGAAAAAAAACATGTACAACTATGCTAATCAGAGGGCTATAGATACGATCAAAGACCAATCTGGATATAGAACAAGAAGAAGTAACGACGAGCCTATTTGCTGGAAATTGGAATTTTCCGGTACCAAAATGATTCTTTCGGAAACGAAAAGGATTGAAACTGGAAAATGTTGCACGGAAATAGCAGATCCGATAATTAATCCGCAAGGAACACAACTCACGATTTCAATCGAACTCTGGCTTTCTCTCTCTGATTTGCAATTGAAAGATGAGCAAGAAACCCAGAAATTAAACGACACAAGAGATTGTTCACCCAGAGTTTCGCCTTAGAAGTGAAGTACTACTCTCTGGGGCTGGATCGATCCAGCAATTTCACTATCACCCAAGAACTGTTCGTCTCTAAACCCTTGTGGAAGAAGATGATTACAACGTCGTCTCAAGAGGGTTCTTTACTCTCTTTTAGGACTCGTTCACGAGAGATTAAAACCACCTTTAACCCTAGGGCTAAACCAACTCAGCTTACTCCATACCGGATATAACCAATTTGGTATACCTAATATGTTGACTTCCCTTCAACCAGTTGACCAGAACTTTAAACACGTTCACAGAAACGAACGCTGATTCTTATTTTTGAGCGTGAAAGGAGAATAAGTAAGGACGAGTTTTAAGACTTTGTGCGAAAAAGAAAAGAAGAATTTAGAGAGAAGCAGCGATGAAAGATTAATCATCTACATATTAATTGACAATGTAGTTTAATGAAATATATTGATTTGTTTTAATTTCATTAGTTAAAAACATAAATCTAACTTAATTAAATGTGATATGGAAATGATGATGTCTAATGATTAGGTCTAGGCATTCGGGTTCGGGTCAGGTCTTTTCGGATATTGGTTACTTCGGTTTTAGACAATGAGCTCCATTCGAGTATTTTTAATTTTTCGGTCGGGTTCGGTTCGGTTCTTGTCGGGTTCGGATCGGTTTCGGGTACCCAATTTCTCTAAAATTTATTTAAAACTTTTTATATAAAATTAGATTTTAAAAATATATTGATATATTTGGTTAAGTTTTGCTAAAATATTAAATTTTGATATATATAACTTAAATAATTTGGATATTTTTGATTATTTTAATTTAAATATAAAGAATATATTTGATTCATAATTATGATTTTGAGAAATTTGGTTATATTATATCTAAATATAACTAATATTTATATATATATATCATTATATCTCGGATATTTCGGATATCCGTTCGGTTCTCGGTTCGGTTCGGGTACGGTACCGGTTTTTCGGATATAAAGGTAAAGACTCCATTCAGATATTTACATCATTTCGGTTCGGTTCGGTACCATAAAATTCGGGTCGGGTTCGGGTGGATTTTTCGGATCCGGTTTTTATGCCCAGGCCTACTAATGATGATGTAATTGTGACATGGCATTTGCTAACACATGTAGATTATGATATGACAAAAAAAAATTTATGTGTTTAATTTTATTTAATTCAAATAATTATTTTATGAAAACTAAAAAATATAAAATATTTAATTATTAATATAAATTGTAAAATATCATTTTTTATAAAACATATGTTATATTTTTTATTACATTCACATATTTGTACACGTTAAATTGTATAAAAATTATATCTTCATCATATGCACCGACTATATAATCTAAAATAACATTAATCTAACAATGTTTAACCTAAAGAACCCATTTTTTGTCCACACAAAACAGAAAATAAACAAATACAAATATACAAAAAAAAATTAGAGTATACCACGTTTTGTTAATCGAAGTATAATTATCTACTTTTAACATATTTCTTGAGATTGTCTTTCCGCAATATAATCCAAAGCAACATTAATTGTATCATCAAATTGTATAAAATTAGAATTGTCTTCATCACATGCACCGACTATATAATCCAAAGTAACATTAATCTAACAATGTTTAACTAAATAGCCCATTTTTGTTGTCCATGCGAAACATAAGCTAAACAAATATACAAAGAGAAGTTAGAATATATATATATATATATAAGTTCAAATAATTTTTTGTGTTTAATTTATTTTAGTTCAAATATTTATTTTATACAAAAAAGTCTTCGAGAATTTAGAGGCTAAATAACTGGATAAATTGAAGAAGATTAATTGAAGACGAAGAAGTAAAGAAGATGATGAAATTTGCAGGTATGTACGCCTGACCCGCAAATCCACAGCAGATAACCCGCTCAACCAGCTATCCACGGGTCTTGTCCATTTGGCCTTTTAACATAATAAAATAGGCATTTTGTTATAATAAAATGTCTAGTTAAAATTATATCATATTTTGCTATTAGAACTTATAATTTAATCGCTCTACTTAATTTTTTATATATTACAAAAATTAAAATATTTATAATAATTTAGATATTATATTTATGTAACTAAGTTATTAAATTTTTAAAACTGTTATGCGTGCGGGCCAAATTCCTAATTACTATTATATGATTCAGCAGAAGAAAAAAAACACATTTTTGAATCTTAAGTGATCGTAATATACAGAGGATTTGTATTAAGTTTTAGTAACCCCATAAACTCACATGGCAAATTCATGCATTAAAAGCAACTTCTTAACGCCAAAATTAAAACATTTTTTTATTATCAATTAACCCTTTTCATTTAATGTTTAAAAGACAGGGTATTCCAGATATAAAAATGACATGAGGGTATTGCAGATATAAAAATGACATGGCAAAACTTGTAAATATCTTAAAAATATATCATTTAATTGAGCTAATTTATTTGAGATAATTGATAAATAAATGATACTTTTGTTATTATTTTGAAAATAATTGGTTTAAAAGTATTTACTTGCATAATTTAGACCTCATCTTACGATTTTTCCTGAGAAATTTTCTGTTAGGATTAAAATTATAAAACGGACTATTTCAAGAAATCTCTAACCTTTAACATCCTCATATTTTTACATGGCAAATTGAAACATCAAAAGCAACCTCCTAACTCCAATATTAAAACATTTGATTAGACATTCATCCAAGCTTCTACTTGAGTTCGATAGGAACAAGTATGTTGGAGAGGAGGAGATGTTAAGAATGTCAACGATCATCTGAGTTCCTGCGATAACTTTTTCTCTCATATATGCTAGGGTGAATGTTGGAGTTACTAAATCTTGAACAAGTATAAATACATGTTTATTTTCTTTATGTTCTCGGTTTTTTTTAGATTACAATCTTAAATTTGGTAATTTTATTTTGATCATTATGAGCATGTGCCTAGGGAGGTGCAGCCCATAGATAGACCCTCTCTCCAGATATTCAAATGGGTAGAAAGCATAGGCCTATATCCATGTGGCCAAATGAGATTAATCTAGCAATTTCACACTTCAGGGAAATCAATCTGACCTTGACCAACAGGACAACTCCTCCTCAAGTGGAAACCACTAGACCACCACCAATTGGTTAAAAACCACTAGACCACCACCATAATAATTTCGTTACCTTTCAAAGACACTTAGTATAGTCTTTTTTTTTAAAAAAAAAAACAAGGATATATATACTCCCTGATTTATCTAAATCAAATAGTGGTCCATAGCATTATTTTTTGTTATGTAATTAGATATCATATTTTGATTTGCAATATAAATTTTGGCATAAAATTAAAACAAATAAAAAAAATTTAAAATAAGAACAGAATACTAAGAGTTAATTTTTTAAGGATCTAATCTAATTTTCGTATGTTTTTTTTTTAATTTGTGTGAAAAAATGTCAAGATGATACTTTATAAGTAAAGAGCTTTTTGTTACATTATATAATACACGTACCCTGTTGGAGCTAATGTGAGAATTTGTTTTGAACTGTGCTGATTCAAAATAAGAAGATTGTGCATTATCTCCTCTACAAACCGAGGTATAGAGGCTAAAGACATCGATCTCGTTGTACTGCTTCTCAACTTCTGTTATGGCCTCATGGCACTTGTCGCCCCAATAATCATCGCTGCTGAAATTGCAAGACTTGCTTATGATTCTATATGTCTCGTCCGATATCACTGCATGGCTCCATGCATAATCCACCCAACCTCTCCAGTCTTCTACAATTGATGTCTCAGGATTCCCCAACTACTTAGCCATGAAAACAAAAGGTTCGAACGAACTGGATTTAAAATCAACTGTTCAATTTTATCCAGTAGAATTAGCATACTGTTAAGTTTTATGGATTTTCAACTCTAAATCAATTATCAATAAGTTGATTGGTCTATATATTTAAAATATTACTTGTGTTATGTAATTTCTTCGGATACAAAACTTGAAGTTTATGTTAGTTATAGAAACGACGATGCAAATTTTATAGTACGGGACGAATCTATTAGATTGCAAATACATGGTTTATCACTAGTATTGAGAGATTCAAATGTACCATAAAACCCTTAAGATTAATGTGAAGCGATAAATCATTTTCCTGCAAAAAAATATATACGTTGCCTATAAATCATATAACCAAACTAGACATATTAACTAAAAAATTAAGAGGGTTTTTTTTTATTAACCTGCATAGCTTTCGCCTGCGATATAGAGAACTCATTTCCTCTGTATTCTGAGAATTTCTCAAACCAGTTGCAAAGAAAAGTGTACGCATCTCTGGCTGATTGCAGAAAAAAAAAATGAAATATATAATTATGCTTAACTTGTTTTCGCAAAAAAGTATGTATGTTTTAAGTTTTAACTACGTAAATATCCTTTTATGAATAGTGTTTCTAGGTTTTTTTTCTTTATTTTTTAGATAAAAAAATATTGGTTTATACTTTATAGCTATGGCGTATTTAAGTGATTATGAAAAAGGTGTATATTCTCTTTAAAAAAAAGTGATTCTTCCTGAAACAATTATATTACTCATCAAGGGGAAAAAACTATTATATACACCATGTTAAGGACCAAGACTATTTACATATATAGACCTACTTGCAAAGTTATCGTCAAGATTTATATAATCGCTACTCTCGTGTTTGAATACGAAAAGCCAACGCCGACGGGAGATTCTAAAAACAGCATGCTGGCCTCTGCATAAGAAAATTCACCTTTTCATTATTATAAAATATTATGACGATAAGATAATTATTTTAATACATACATACAAAACTTACCTTTATTCCATGCGTATGGATTAAATATAAGTCCTTTTTCGTTGGTGTCCGCAAGAAACGGACCAATTTCTTCTGTTGCTCCGTATCCAACAGAAGAGCATCCTGGACCTATGAGACAAGACAAAGTATGTTGGAACTCAGAATGACAAAATCATACCAAAATAAAACAAAATTTGCTGAATACATGAACGGTGGAATGAACAAAAATCATAATTCATAAGTCACACTTTGTATGATTCTTTTGAAAAATAAATAGTAGACTTTTTTTTTGTTTCACAACTAAATAAATAGTAGACTTAAAGTCTATCGAAAAAAGAAATAGTAGACTTATAAACGAAACCATGGAACTAGTTATAAAAAGTCTACTATTTCTCATGTATATATCACATATTATATCTATCAACAGTAGATGAATATATAAAAAAACATTCTTTTTTTTGTTAGAGGCATGACTTGTTCATCAAGAGATTGGGTTTCCTCCATTAAGCCAGAGAACTAGAGGTTTCTCTTTAGGAAGATCCATGGCCTCAAAGAACCAGTAAAACAAAGCTCTTCCGTTGGATTTATCAACAGGGATCTGTCACGAGATCTCCCTCTTTGGCCAAGAAACTTCGATGATGATGTCTAGCACACGACACCACTTCGACTAGTACTAAAAGAGCAATAAACCACAAAGAAATTAATAGATAAGATATGCTCTTGGTGTGATAATCCATTTCGAGGTATACGTTTTGAAGAAAGCTCTAAGACTTAGATGTCTATTTATAAGCTAAGATCCTGAGATTTTTCTGTGCTCTTTTTTGTTCTTTATGTATATATATTTTAAACTAAGTGGATATGGCAGAATAGTATATGTTTAATTTGTTCTTTGTTGTGTTGGTCGAATAATCCCGTCTTAAAAACTAAGATTAATTATTAGGAATAAAATCTGGAGAATTTGTAATACTGACTTATGAAGCACTTTCTCTTTGTTAGTTTTTTAACCACGTCATAGTCAAAAGAAACATAACTTTAAATTTTGTGGTAATTGATGGCTTTGGTTTGTTGAGTTAGTCGTATCCCTCTGAAAAGCTAATATTTATACGGATAATTTCGATAGAATTCGTATATTGACTAATATTTTTGTGGATGAAGCACTTTCTCCTTCATGGGTTTTAACCACGACATGGTCAAAAGTAACAAAATTTAATGTATTAATAACAGTGTCATATTTGACCTCATTAAGAAAATAGGCGGATTAATTGAGTCCACAATAGCATAAGCTTAACTAGTAACGAAATTCTACATAACCTATGTTTGTCTGAAGCCAGATAGTCAAGCACTACAAAAAAAAAATTTGATTACATAACTTAAATTGTATCACAAAATTAAATGATATAAATTTTAAATTACTTATTAATAAATAATAAAAAAAATATATGATTTAACATCATTTATTATAATTGATGATTTTGTTGATTATTTAACTTCAGTTCAATAAAATTGATACAAATTTATATTAGTTTACATCACTTAAATAAAATTAATATAAAATTATGTATTTAAATCAGTTAAATAATCGATGTAATCAATAATTTTGGTTAATATAAATTTTATATCAATTAAAACTGATGTGACTAGTTTTTGTACTTTGTCTCACATCGATAGTTGATAAAAATGAAAGAAAAAACATGTATATATATATATATATATCAAAACTTAAGTACTTTATATTTACACTAGTATTTTGGTCTGCGCATAGCACGGGCAGGGGAATTTAATTAGCGCAATTATATTATTTTTTGTATTTGATAAACAATTACACAATTTTTTTAAAGATATTATAAATATACAAAGTGAGATTCAATTTAAATATTTTTATCATATGATTCATTTTTTTGGACAGAACCTAACAACATCCAATTTACATTATTTAAAAAGAGCAATACTTAATTTTATTTATGAACAGTATACTATATCCTTATCTCTTTTACTTTTTTTTTTTTTTCGTTCAACCATCAACCCTTATTTCTTTCACCAGTTGTAATATTTTCCTTATGTATAGTTTTTTTCCTGTTTTAATAATGTTATGATAAAGAGTACTTAAGAGTCTAGTTTATAGTAAACACTAAACACTTCTAACACTAATTTTGAATACAAAAAGGACGTAAAATAAAAGAGTTAATGACTTAATGTACACATAGACATATAGTACTTGTGACAATCAACATTGTAACAATGCAAAGACAGTAATATCTCAATAATGCAGAAAACAACAAATCATAAACACGAAGAAGGCCAGAAACGGCATGAGAACTAAACCAATCCAAAGCTTACCATCTTTCTCCTCCACTTCACTTATAAATCTCAATCTCTTTCCTTTTTTATCCCTAAGCACCTCCACAACCTCTCTTGATTCACTCAGATTCACTCGGAAGCTGAGCAAACACGTCTTGGGTTCCTGCGTTTGGACCAAAGAACCAAAGTCTTAGGATCTTGCAAGTGGATGTTTTGGCTATCAGTACAAAAAACCGATATTTGCTTAGCGAAACGCCATTTGAAAATGCAACTCTGTCACCTTTTTGCATGATCTATCATACTTGATTAACCTTCCAGTCTTATCAAAGTTCAAAACAACAGCCAAAATTGCCTGAACATGACAACGTTTTGAAGTTAAATCATCATCACCAATAGAAAAGGAGAATCTGAGATTCATGCATCAGAGTAAGAAAGTCAATATTTAATGAAAATCGCATGATAAGAAATATGAGATTTTAGATGTTTCTATTAATTATGTTACCTTCTCTGGAATCGCATGATAAGAAAGTATCTGTGACGTCTTCCTGCTCATCAATGTTTAATTCATTAGTGAAACATACCTTTGCCCCTCCGCTTCTGTAACCAGGGGTTTGGCTAAACCACCACCATGACCAACAATAAGAAATGCATCCGCAATGATCTCCGGTTTTCTTATCAAACGCAATCTTAATTTCCACACACATGCTCTAATTCTGGTACAAAAGGGTAACACACATCTGGCTAAACCATATTCACATGTGGTAAAACGAAATTTTGTTACCTGACCTCGGAGACACCAACACATAGACCTTCCGCGGCTCCGATCACGTTTAACGTTTATCACCTTCTCCGATGGAAAAACACCACACAAGCCGATGATTTCAGGCAATGTGAAAAATTCTGAAACCGGTTTGACTCCGGGGAAGAACGTGAGCCTTGAAATCTAGTCGTCGAATGGATTCTGGAGCTTCGACTATGGCCGCTCATGTTTCTACTCGAGCTTTAATCTTCCAAAATTCATTTTCAGAAACCGGTTTTAGTTGAGCTATTGGTGTGAAAGAAAGTTTCATCTTTCAAACAATCGCAGTTTGTAGTACCTGAAACAGAACCACAGAGAAAAAGCTTAAATTACAGATAAATGAAATCAGAGAAATTGAGGATACAAAGCTAGAAATCGAGAAGTAAAAAATCATCTAAAGTAATTATGGTTTTTTTTCTTCATGTTAAACGATTTTATGGTTTTACAGTTCTCATATATTAAAGAAAATGGAAGTTGAAATAAAGAAATGGAGATCGTGAGTTCGAATACAAAAACACGTGTTGTTTTAATTTTAGTTTAAGGAAACAAAAAATATTCTATAAATCCGGCGAAGATTGTGGTAAATCAAATAACAAATTTGACAAAACAAAATTATAATTCAGATAAATCAAAATCCAGAAAAAATTCCTAATTTTATTTGCAAAATAAATTTTCAATCTGAATAACAGAACTACCTTTATCAATATCACAAATAAGCATCTAAAGTACCTTCCACCTTCAGATCGGCCTTCATCTCAATGGTCATGGCATCAACTGCCTCTCTCCGTTTTGCTATTAGGTTTGCTAAATTCACATTTATCAGTTTCACGATCTGAAATATCTGAAATACGCACACCAATTTCATAAATTGTTTCTGCTTTGTATTTCATACGTTTTGATTTTGGAAGCGTGATTTACAACGAAGGAAAAGAAGATGACTTTTGACATCCAGCTCCCAAAAAGGAAGAAGATGCTTAAGAAAAAGAAAAGAAAATAAGAAAAAGTAAATAAAATGTTTAAGTATCACGTAAAGGAAAGAAAAAGCAAAAATTTAGGAATTAATCAGTTTTAAAAGTACCACGTAAAGGAAAAAGAAAGCAAAAATTTAGGAGAATATTTTGTAGAAACTGAAAGATATTTAAAACTGAAAAAGGAAAAAAAAGAATGTGGAAAGGACACATGTTAAATGGAGAATTGTCAATTGACTTCTTATTTATAAGTATAAAGATTTTACTAACCAATAAAATTAATTTCAAATTTTTTGAAAGATCAAAAAATTATTGATGTATAAAATTTTGGATTAAAATAATAATATTATTGTAAATATTTATAAAAATAATAATAAAAATAAATTATTTTTTAACATCTGAATATAATTATGATATTAAACTAAACTAATTTTAACATCATTTATTATAACCGTCACAAATACTAATATCATTAATAAAAATTGATGCAAATGATAACATCAGTTTTTTGTAATTGACACATATTGACATTGATTTCAACAATCAATGCAAAAATAAAATATATTTGCATTAATTGATAGCTAACTGATGTTAATTATTTGTATTACCACATTCAGAATCAGCTTTACAAGTGATGTAAAACTTGTTTGTATTAATTAGATATAATACAAATATTTAAAATAAGTGATACAATACACCTGTTTTTTTTGCAGTGAAGTAGCCTAGCTAGTGCAGTATCATATGCTAATTAAACATGAAAAAGTCCTAATTATATCAATGTTAATCAGTTTAATTAATTCTAACATATAATGTCTTGGACTAATTGTCTTTTATGAATTAGTTTTCAATATATTTGGTTTCGGCTGTCACATTCCAAACAAAAATATCTGTCAATCGGTCAAGTTTAGCGTAAGACATCCTAAACAACAACATACAAAATCTCATATTTAACAATAAGCAGTTTATTGCATATTTACTACCCGGTTTTTGTTCATAGATCATCATCAGTCTTTTGCCCAAAAAAAAAAAAAAATCATCATCAGTCTAATTTACACAATTAACATAGAGAGATGCATGCATCAGATGTATAAACAACTTGGGATCATACGACATAACCAATATTCACAATGTAAAATCTTCAACTTATTATAAGAAGGATTTTTCTCTAAATATTTAACTTTAACTGCAGTGTTAAAGAGTACCAAACTGCACTGTTATCCAATTCGGGTATCTGGAACCAACCCAGACCCGATATGAACCCAACCAAACCCTATCCAAAAATTAAAAATATTTAAATGAGACTCATAACCAAAATAACTAATACCTGAAAATACCCAACTTGAACTCGAATGGATACCGAATGCCCAAGACTAATTAAATCTTAAGTCTAGCCAGATTATTACAAGTTCCATTAATATATCTAAACAAAATCTTTATGTAATGACTGGCGAGAAGTTGATGACACATTATCAGTAATAATCTGGTTAGCCATAAGATTTAATTAACACACTACAGACGGGAACCATGTAAGAACTTTTAGCAAACAACCCACTATAGATTGGAACCATCGATACAAAAAATAAGATAGATAACATTATTAATAAATAATAAAATGTTGGTAAAATAAATCACTATTTAAAATCACTTATTAAAAATTGATACTAAAGTATAATTTTATATCAGTTCAAATAATTAATATTATTACTAATTTGATTAATATCAATTAAAAAATTGATACTAATACTAACTTGATTAATATCAATTTTATAAATTTGATACTATTATCATTTTGATTAACATTAATTAACAATTTTTATAAAATATTTGCATCAATCAATATTACTAATATAAATTGTTAGATTCATCATTTCTAAAATCATTTAATTAAATAATATAATTGAATTTTTATTGATCAAAAATAATATTAACGAAAAAAATAAATGATACAACATATACTTTTTTCTAATGTATGTACAAACTTTTGCAAACAACCCACTATAATTGGAACAAATTATTAATTGTATAATCGAGTGGTTTTACCACGTTGGTCAAAACAAAAACGCATTATCGATTATTCTTTAGTTCAATCGTAAATATTCACACGTTTTACTCCTGCGTAATCCACTTTTATTTACACTTGTAAGTCTCGGCACTAGTTTGAATACGCGTTTAGAAGATGTAAATGAACAAATAAACAAAGTAAAAGTGGTTTTTGTTGGGAGGTTATAAGAGTTATTATGACATGGACTCCAACATTTTTTGATGAGTACGAGGGAAATCATGTCTGGATAATTTATGCTTTGTTTCGATTAATCGATTTATATCGTCTTTTACTTGGTTTCACATTTGGAAATATATTTGTTCACTTATCTTTTAGTTGGTTTCACATTGGGGATATACTTTCAATTAATCTTCCTTTTGTCTTTTAGTTTAATCGCATAATTTATCGAACATTAAAAAATATAGGAAAATTTGACTGAGTAACCATTATAAACATGTTATTTAATTTTGTAACTATATCAAATTTGTGCCTATAATATTCTTTGTATAATGTGTATAATATCCAAATTGACCTTTATATTTTATACTATATTTTTCTATTCTATTTTATTTTGTATCTTGTGAATATTCTATATTTTTGGACAAAAATATATTTCGTGACCATTTTGCTGAGAAGGGAGAGAATGAGAAATAATTCCGATTATTCTGCACGCATAATAACTTTGATTTATGTTCGAAGGTTTGGATATAGTAAATACTGGTTTAAATTTAATTTTAAATCATGTAAGTTTATTTTCAGAGGTTTATAGCGGGTTAAGAATTACGGTAGATAAAATCATATTGTTTATGTTTGGGGTTTGAGTATAGTAAGTAGTGGCTTGAGTTTAGTTTTTAATGAATTCGTGTTATTTTACATACGTAATAACTTTAGTTTATGTTTTCGAGGGTTTAGGTATAGTAAGTACTAACTTAGGTTTAGTTTTAAATTATGTGAGTTTATCTGCGAGGATCTACAGAGGATTAAGAATTACGGTATATAACATCATACAATTTATGTTCGGGAGTTTGGGTATAGTAAGTAGTGGCTTGTGTTTAGTTTTAAAATATCAAAGTTTATTTTCAGGTCACAAATTTTTTTCTATTAACTAGTTTATATTATTTCGTAAGACAAAATAACAAAAAATAGTATAGAACAAAATAGTTTGGGGTTTAGTTTTATGGTTTGAAACTTATATTTTGTGATTTAGGTATAGTAAGTAGTATGGTCACTTAATATGATCCTTAAATTCAATTGACAATTTACCAAATTCAGTTATAATTAGTAAAGATTATGGATAAATATAGTTTCATGTTCTACAACCAAAATAATTCTATACTATTTTTAGAGAATATATAACTCGATAATGTTATTCTATATATCTATATAGTATGTAACATAAGTTTTTCTCTTTATGTCTCTTTTCAAGGGTATTTTCAATCTTAAATTTAGTTTTAAATTATTTGAGTTTATTTTAAAGTTTATAACGAATTACTGTTTACAAGGGATATATACATGGTTTGGGTATAGTATATATTGGGTTGGATTTAGTTTTAGATTATTTGAATTCATTTTGAAGTTTATACTTATTACACCTTACAAAGGGTATGTATACATGGTTTATGTATAGTAAGTAGTGGTTTGAGTTTAGTTTTAAAATTTTGAGTTCATTTTAAAGTTTATAATGGATTATAGCTTACAAAAAGTATATGTATGTGATTTAGATATAGTAACTAGTATAAAACAAACAGATTGTTCGAGAGTTTGGGTATAATAAGTACTAGTTTGGGTTTAGTTTTAAATTATGTTAGTTCATTTTCAAGGATCTATGGTAGATTAAAAATTACAATAGATAACATCATATAGTTTATGTTCAGGAGCTTGGGTATAATAAGTAGCGGTTTGGGTTTAGTTTCAAAATATGTGATTTTATTGTCATCGGTCTATAATCAATTAGAATTGGATAACATCATAAAAGCTGAAATTTTTGGGTAACATCATATGAATAATAAGTTTATACTATTTTACAAAATAAAATAGTATAGATCGAAAGACAAAATAATATAAAATATAAAATGCTATTTGTGTATGTATAAAATAGTATAGAATCTTTGTTTTTTTTCCTAGCGTAAGGATATTTTGGTCTAATAAATTAAAGTGGTTAAGGTTTTTGATTAGTTAATTTATTTCAAATTCCTTATGGCTATAAGTTAAATTTTATAGCTCAATATAGTTAGTCACCGAATTGACAATCTAATAACATATTTGTACTTCCAAATTTTTGAACCATCAATATTATGTGCGTGATATTTTCGGATCGATCAAAATCCAACTGCTGGAGACTAGAGAATAGATGAACATCAGAGCTCTCAACATCAAAATCCAGATAACAATCAATCACATTAATCAATACAATAAAAATACAAGTGTCTCTCCTCGTGAAGACACATCAGCATTTTGTAGCTTTCTGAAGATGACACTTCAGCAAAAAAAACACCAATCAAAACATTTTATTAATACACATCATTTACTAACTTTTATTATTTTTTAACTTAAATCCATTAAAAACTCAAATATTTTTCTTTGTTAATATTTTTTTTCCAAACCCAAGTCCAAATAATAAAAAGCAGCAAATAAAAAAAATTGTTTTACTTTTTTATCATCCCCAAATCCAAATAATAATTAACAACAAATAAAAAAATTAAATATTTGTTATATATTTTTGCCAAACTGAAACTCAAATAATAAATAACAGCAAAAAAAATTAAAATTTCTAACTATGTATTTGCTTGATAGAGACGTATATGATTGAAGAAAGTATAGACTCATCATCAATTATGCTTCCATAACAACAACACAAAAATTGTTATGTTATAAAAAGCTCACACATCAGCGAAAATTTGAATCAATAAAAACATAAACATAACATTAACACACTAATAAAACCAGTTTACTACAGTAGAAACTCTATAAATTAATAATCTCGATAAATCAATAATTTTACTCGGTCTCGAGTTGGGCCGGTTCAAAAATTAATACAAATCGATAAATTAATAAGATAATAATTTTTTTTTGAAAACTTATATAAAATATGGGAAATTGCTCATTTAATTCCTGAAGTATTTGCAATTAGCAAATTTATTTCCTAGCTATTATGTGTGCAGATTAAATCCTTAACATAGTATTGACTTCGCAAATTTAGGCATGAGAAAAGTCAACGTTAATGAAGAAAACGGAAACGTTAGCGTTGACTTCTCTCGGTCTAATTTTGCAAGGTCAACCTAAACTAGAGAAATTAATTTGATTAACTAAAAGTTGGGGAATTAATCCGTACAATTCAAAAACTTGAAGAATTAAATGATTATTTTTTGTTTATAAAATTATGATTATTTTCATGAATCATAATTATTTGTAGAATACCATCAAATACTTTTTAATTTTTTTATTATATTATGCTTTCTAATAATCATAATTATTTGTAGAATACCATCAATATTTTTTTTTTAAAAAAGTGTGTTTAAAATTTTTAGGACTAGGGATGGAAATTAGAAATATGGGAATCCGATAAGAACGAAACGGATTTGGAAAATTTTCTTACTTAAAATCTCTTATCAAACTCACGCTAATTTGAGTAAAGATCAACTTCAAGACATATATTTTGGACAATTTCGAGAAAATTCTGAAAATTTTGGAAAAATTAATATATATATATATATATATTTTTTGAACAGATAATTAAGGTATATGATCTTATACCCTTTCTTTTTCCGTACCTGTTTGAATAAAACAAATAGTTTCGATTGACAGGAGAATAATCATCAGTTCATAACCAAATACTACCATATACTGAGAAAGATAGATAAAAATAAGTTAATTTGATAAAAATTATTTCTTCTAATAGATTAACCATACCAATGACCGTATGATAGGAGAATAATCATCGGTTGATAACCAAAAAATTTGTCAATAAAGAAAAATCACCAAAATTAAATACACGTAATTTTATTCATAACAATAGAAAACATAATATAATAAAAGCAATATTTCTTAAAAAATATTTAATGGTATTCTACAAATAATCATGATTTATAAAAATAATCATAATTTACTAAATAAAAAATGATCATTTAATTCTCAAGTTTTTGCCATTGTGCATATCAATTCCCCAACTTTCAATTTGGCAAATTAATTCCTCGAGTTTATATTGACTTTGCAAAATTGAACTGAGATATAAAGTCAACGGTAACGTTTCTGTTTTCTTCTTTAACGTTGACTTTCTCATGCTTAAATCTGCGAAGTCAACACTAAATTGATGATTTAATCTGCACACATGATAATTGGGGAATAAATTTGCCAATTGTAAATACTTCAGAAATTAAATGAGCAATTTTCCTATAAAATATAGTCCTATTAATATCATAAATTAATTATTATTATATAAAATAATTTTATATAAATATATAATTATGATCATCTATTAAAATATGAGTATATTGTTGTTTTTTATATTAAAATTGAAATATTTTTATTATTTATCTCTAATTTTATAATGAAAATTTTGAAAAATATTATAAATTTTAAATAAAATATTATTTTTATTTAATTATTAATATATAATTTATTTTATTCAAAACTGATAAATTAATAAAATATCAAAGTCCTAACATTATTAATTTATGGAGTTTCTACTGTAGTTTTCTGACTCATTAAAAAGCCCAAAGTTTACAAAAAAAAATTGAAAGTCGAAAGCAAATGAGGAGAAGCTCAGACCACCACAACTTGGAGATTCGCATTTCGGGTGGTTACCGAGAACAAATTTTTTAGGGTTCGGCGGGAATATAAAATTTCTTGGTTTCGGTAGGAAAATGTGATTTTCAGTTTTGGTAGGAAAACATAATTTCTCGATTATGGCACAAAAAGCGAATTCTCGGGTTTGGCGGAAAAATGTGAATTTTTGGTTTTGGTGAGAAAAAAAAATTTGATTTTGACACGAAAACAAAGTATCATAGTTTTGACGGGAAAATGCGAGGGAAATGCAACTTTTCAATTTTGACGAAAAATACAATTTTTCGGTTTTGATAGGAAATGCAAATTTTTGGCTTTTGATGGATAACGTGATTTCTTGATTTTTGCGGAAAAATGTGATTTCTTAGTTTTCGCGGAAAATTGTAATTTGACGATTTTGACGGGAATAAAATAAAATTACAATTTTTCGCAGCATAGCGCGGATAAATACCTAGTACTCTATAAAAAAAAAGTAAGACAAAACTAAACATTAATACTGGTACTTGTAGTTACATTACATTAATGTAATCCTTCTAAGTATTTTAGAAATGAAAACTGAATTATTTCGCTTTTAGCTCTCTCATGCTTTGTACAAGATTCGCCTTTGTGTGGTGGTATGATAAGTACAAATAAAGATTAAAGGATAAATACGTTTGATCCGTACACAAATGCTTCTATATGTTTTACAAAGAAACACAATTTATTCAAATTCACATGGCATATTCATACATTAAAGTAGTACATAGAGGGGGTCGTATTGTATGTGAATACAACACATGATTTGGATTATTACAGAGAAATACACACACAACAGCTTTAATCAGAGAAGAAGAGACTACAAGTGAAGGAGATAGAGATGAATAAATGTTTCAAATGGAAGAAGTGAAGCTATAAGAAGAATAAGACAAAGTACCAAGTTGCCAACTTGTGTGGATCTGCTCTGCTTTAGCATCATCACCTGCTGCACCCATTGCAACGTGTAAAGGATAAAAATGCTCAGGGCATGGATGCGCCATTTTCGAATTTGGAGCTTTCTCTTCCCAATCATTCACATCTCCATATCTGTCAAAAAAATAAATCATAAAACAATCAATGACTCTTAACACATAAACCAACACAAAAAGATTTGTACTTTTGGTTGCAAATCTTTTACCTTCCTTGCACAAGAGAGTCTCTAAGCCAATTATCAAACTCCAAAGCCCAAGGAACAGCTGAGCCATTAGTGATATTAAAGTCAAGCTTCCTCAAGTTATGAGTAGCACTTCCAGAGCCAATGATAAGAACACCTTCGTCTTTCAATGGAGCCAATGCTTTGCCCATGTTGTAATGGTAACTCCCATTTTGAGATGATTGAACAGAGAGCTGACAAATGGGTATATCAGCCTCTGGATACATCAACATAAGAGGAACCCAAGCTCCATGATCAAGACCTCTCTTTGTATCTTCATCAACACGCTTCATTCCTCCTTCTCCCATTAGCAATTCTTTAACCCTCTTTCCCAATGCAATCGCTCCTGGTGCTTCGTATTTCAGCTGCAAAATTCAAAATTGACCCCATATTTTAAAAAAAAAACTTGAAACTTTTTGATGTAATTGACCTCAAAACTGATACATTGTTCAACGATCTGCTATCTAGGAACGATTGAAATTTGACCCCATATTTAAAAACTAAAACTTTTTCACCCCAAGATTGAAAATTGATGAATTTGTTCAAAGATCTGCTATCTAAGAACGGTTTAGGAGAAACCCTGTTCATAGTAAAATCTGGGTCAGAGCAAAGTTAGGTTTTTTTTTGTTTTGTAAGAAAGAGGAGAGAGACCTTGTACATGGGATCAGGGAAGCCATAGAAATCGTGGATGGTGGAATTGCGAAGAACAGTGTTGACAGATGGATATTTGGTGTCCCAATGAGCGGAGATGACTAAAATCGATTTAGGTTTCTGCGGGAAAACTTTGTCGGACCATGATTTGAAAAATTGTCTCGCTTCCAAGGAATCGTCTATGCTCAATGTTGGAGATCCATGAGACAGGAAGAATGTTTGATTCACTTTCTCCATTGAATCTCTCTGTTTCTGTTTTGATCAACCTCGACTTTTTTTTTGCCTCTTTTGTTTCAAATGTTTCTCACCAACTAATAATTTCGTTTATGTCTTCGGTATAAAAGGGCCCCACCCACCAAACACTAATTTTCCGACCGGATCTTATCGTATTCTAGAAGATCTTTTGTTTGTTTCTAAATTCCACCATTAGTTTTCTTCTTTTTCAAATGTTTCACCTAACTCTCTGTTTTTTGTTTTTGTTTATTTTCTTCAACCAAACAACACAACGTTTTACTCATGGCAATTGTGTGTGGTTCTGTGTAGTTACATTAGTTTGAGTGATTAAGAACTTGAATACACAGAGGAGACTTGTTTGAGTTCAGACAAAAGTGTTTGTTACAGATGCTTCTACCTAATGACACAGAACCCAAATTATTCAGCCGTGTTGATACATCGAAGGCAATCCAAATAATATACACAAGCAAATCTAAAAGATTTTGTCTTGTCAGTTGCAACACAGCTCCATGAAAGAAGATCTGTGAGCTTTTCTCATGTTTGGAAACCGCTTCGTGAGACAAAACTTTACTCTCCAGAATAATCAAACAAGTTACTATAGCTGTCTTGATGAACTACCAGGCAATTGGTTAGATCTCAAATGCTCATCCTGAAAGAAAGAAGACATCAACATGTGGTTTAAGCACAAAAAATGATAATTCTCATTCAAAGTACAGCAACTTAATAAAGATTTGTTCAGGGAGCTGAAACCTGTAAATTGTAAGTGAAACTGGGAGGAGGCCTGAAATCGATTTGGCCCTGCGCGTGACAATATGAAAATACAAAATGAACAATAAGATCATTCATAAGACACTACTACAATCACTTTTGGAGGAGTTTTGTAATGTAAAGGTACTGTAATGTTACCAGTCCAGGCATCGCTTGCTGATTCGTGAAGTAGCTATCTTGCACCGGTGCTATGGAATTCAATTGTCCCTGAATCCAAAACAACCAAAACATGACAATTCTTTTAACATTTCACACATTGACTTATACTTGGGTGATGGATCATTCTGCTTCAAGCATATCTATGTATATATATATTTATAACTCACCAGGCCTTGGATGGTTCGTTGATTTACATAGTAGCCTTCATGAGGTGGCTCCATTAAATTTAACTATATCCACAGTTAAAGCAGGTTTAGTGTAGATGTAGAATCACTTAGCCACCAAATTTGTAACAATCAACATACATAGCATACCAATCCTTGAACGTTCTGTTGAGGACCATAGTAACCATTGATGCTCATTCCCTCTGAACTTAAACTTTCCTGCACAAACAGTTAAAAGCCATCTCTTATATCAAACGCGCTTTTGCATTGAGCAAATTAATCAGAGAAGTTCAGATCAAAGCACAAACCATTGGTTGCAAGCTCTGTTGAGATTCAAGCACTTGGCTAGCTTCTTGTTGTCCCTGCACAAGATCAATTTGTGTCTTTTCTCTTTAAGTCTTTCGAAACTGAGAAAGTGAACGACTCTGAAATAGTTAAGATTGGAGGGAAAGTATGAGTAAAAATCCACCTTTCTTTTCCTGACAACAGTCTTCTTTTTTGCTGCTTTTACGCCGGCCATTACCTGGTTTTGTTCTTCATGAGCACCATTATTAAGCTGGCTATTAGACTCAGTGATGTTGTTTCTAGAGTTATTCAGATCAACACAATTCTTCAGGGTCTCAATTAGTGTGCGCAATATGATGTTGTAGTTTTCTTCTGACACACAACCTTCTTCACTCAATTCAATGGCTCGACTACAGAGATCGTTATAACGCTGAACTCTGGTATGTATCTGGTCTGTTCCTTCACCAGCCAATACTCCACTTTTAGCATCTTTTGTCCACCTTTTCAGGATATATCGAGGCGGGACGCTGGCGAAACCACATATCTGCAGAATCATCAAAGCATGCCGACAGAGAAACCCTTTGTACTCAAACATATGGCAGAAACAGCAAAGCTCTGACTTGTCTTTGCTCCACGTTACAATAAACTCGTCGTCTTTCTCACAGTCTTGAACTCTAAACGTCGCCATGTTCTCATCTTCTTTCTCCTTTCTAGGATGGCAAGCGACAACACCTAATACCTCGACTTGAAACTTCTTGAATATCGTGTGTGTGTAAGTTGTTGCCATCTGCTTCTCCCACGGGGAAGGAGACTTCAACGCAGGCTGCTTGTGGCAAGTATCGAAATCCGCAACAGACTCCTCCTCGTACCTGTTCTGCAAAATCCCACCGTACTGCCTTAAGAACTCCTTCAGAGTGATTTTCTTGTGGATGTACTTATCGAAGAAAGAGTTCACACTCTCTGAACGCTGAAATGTAGACATTCCCGCAAGAAACACATCGCTCATGAAAGTCGGCACCCACTTCTGGCGATGCTCGTGCAGCCATAGAAGCCATTCATCACCCTCGAGTCCGAACCGGCTGACCATTTTCCACCATCTCATATCGAACTGATCACCGTTCCACGAGCTGAAGATGCACTTGTTGAATTTCTTCAAGAAGTTCTCATGCCGTTTCATCACATGGGAGAAATACTCAGGGATTTTTTCCAACACATGCCATAACGCAAAGCAATGGCGAGTGTTTGGTAACAGCTCTGAAACGGCGGCCATCAAGAGTTTGTCTTGGTCGGTGAGTATAACTTTAGGAGCTCGACCACTCATTGCTCGAAGCCATGTTTTAATCAGCCACACAAACGTCTCCTTAGACTCATCAGCAACCAATGCACAGCCAAGCAACATAGGTTGAGAGTGATGGTTCACACCAATAAACAAAGCTAGTGGCAACTTATCGTTAAACTTGACGTAAGTAGTATCAAAGGACACAACATCATTGAAGCTCATGTAATCATCTCTGCTCTTAGCATCAGCCCAAAACAGATTTCTTAACCGTTGCTCCTCGTTCAAGTCTATCGCATAAAAAAACTTCGGGTTCTCCTTCTTGATGCGCTTGAAGTACTCAAGCAGCACTTGAGAATCTCCTTCTTCCAAAGCCAAATACCGACCTTTATCAACCTGACCGTTGACATCGGTCTGATGCGGAAGAAGCCCTGTATTCTTATATCCACCAGACTGTCTCGACATCTCAACATACATCTTCCTGGTCCTTTCACTAACCGCGTGAAGAATGTCGATGTTGTTCTTCTCAGCTAACTTGACATTTCTCTGAATCCGGAAATGATAAGCAAGAGCAGGAAGAAGCCCGTGGTTGTGATCTTTCACAAACTCATGAATTATCCATCTCCCATCAGGTCTTCTCTTCACATGCATACTCGCTTTGCAATCAGTTTTCTTCACACTCGACCTTCGATTACTAGTAGTACCACTCTCAGACTCAGGAGTCACACCGTATCTAGAACAAGCAAACTTGGCGTCGATGAAATCTCTGGTTTTCTTGGAGCGTCTGCTGTTCTTTATCGATGTAGTAAAGCCCATAGATTTGGCGTATTCTTGGTAAAACGAATACGCCGCCTCGTGCGTCTCGAAGTCAATACCATTCCTTGGCTCAAGATCAAGATCACCACTGAATCCAAGGTCTCCTGTTCTTAGATTATCAGCAACAATTCCTCCTACATCATCTCTGTTGTTATGCGATTCAACCACAGCGTCAACCATGTTCTCATCCCCTGCATCACTCACCTGATTACTCTCTTGCATATCCATCTTCAAAAGTTAGCCACATTTGGATTCACTAGAGACCTTAACACACTCAAAAGGAACTAACCCACCATTGACTCCCATGAAACAAATGGAAAACTTAAGTCTTTTCAGTAGTTAAATTTACATTAGCACCTGAAAGTGGAACAACAAAACTTCATAAGAACGTGTGTCCACAACAAACATCACATTTTCGTATTTGACAGCTTTTAAAACACACATAGCAAGAGAAAAGTAACGAATTTCAACAACATACTTCATAGTAATAGAAAAGTTCTGGTTCTTAGACCAAAAATGAGTAAAATTTAACAAAAACCCATGAATAAAGAAGCTTACTTTCATCAGTATCAACATAAAAGATTGAGAATTTTTGTATCACAAGGCGAAGAAAACTAACTTTTGGATTTCACTAGGCTATCCTGCAATTTCTCGGCCACCCAGAGCGCTGCAAAGGGAGAAAGAGAAGTAAAATCTCACGTGAAAAGAGCAGAGCAAAAGCAAAGAAGACGAAGCAGGAGAGAAGGCGAGTGAGGGGGGGGAATGCAAAAGCGAGTGAGGAAACACAAGGAGAAGGAGCGTGAGGAAGAGAAAATCTAGGGTTCCTTTTTTGGAATTTTTAGGGATCTTGAGATGTTTTTTTTTTCTTTTCTTTTCTTACAATCGCTCTACTCACCTTTTTCTCTCACTCGACACAGCGTTTGTTTCCGACGCGGTTGTCTTCAAGGCGCGTCTTGCGTTTTAGGCGCGTCGCTGTTATAAAGCTTTGAGACGTCTCTCATTTTATGTGAAACCCTACTTGTTCTCTTTCTCTCTCTCTGTAATCGCCGCCCATCATTTTTCTCATAGACGAGACATCGGATCCATGGCTTCTAACACGGAGTCTCTCGTATGAATTAGGATTGTTGAGAAAGTTTGTGACAGAGCTCAAGAAAAATGTGAACTTTGTGAATCGAATAGAAAACGAAACTGTTTCTATTTTGATGTAAGAAACTAGAACTGAAATGGTTATTATAACTTTGAATGGCTTCAATCAAATAAAAATCTAAACTTTTACTCCTTATTTTATCTTTTGGTTGTCATCGTTGCTGATGTCTTTTCAAAGATGAAATGTCCCAATGACTATCAAATTTGTGCTATTCATAAGCTTTAATAACATGAATAAGTCATAAAATCATTGAAAACACACAAAATTATTAACCATAAAAAAACATCATTAGAGCCAATTTTTAGCTAATAATCTGAATGATTTCACAATGTCACAGAGAACTGAAGTTGTTTTTTCTTTTGGTCAAAAAAACTAAATTGTTATTCTACAAAAATTAAAAGAAAAAAAAAACAGAGAGAAAAATCAAAGAGTTGAAAAAGACACGTAAGCAGAGAATAAAAGCTTTGGTAACCACTTTCATTTGTCCGTCTCCGTCTTTTAGTCTGTCAACGCTTTTCTATTTTGTCATTTTTCTCTCTTCTTCTTACATTCCTTTTCAATTTCTTCTTTCTCCAGCTACTTTGGACTCTCGCCATGTCTGCTCTTCTTCTTCTTCTTCTTCCTTGTTTCTCCATTCGATTTTATCACAGCTTCTGCTAATTTCGAAACCTGCTTATGTCATTTCTAATTTCGCATTAATTTTTCTTTTCATTTAATTCCTCAGTCTACTTTCCTCTTTCGTCACTTTACTATGACTGACCTACCATAGTAAGAGTCAGAGAGAGAGAGAGAGAGACGAAATATATTTTCTCAGTCCCGTTTCCCTTATATTCCTCTTTACGGGTCTCTCGTATCGCCGATCAAATCCTCCTTACGATTCGCAGCGCCGCCGTTAGAGATAGAGAGATTTGTTAAAAGTTAGGGTTTCGTTTCGATTTTGTAATCGAGAGGAGCAGATATGGTGAGGAAACACGGTTGGCAACTTCCCGCTCACAAATTTCAGGTCTTGATTTCAATATTTTGCTTCTTCCGCATTTGTTTTTTTTGTTTGTTTTGTAGCTGTGGAATGCGTTTGCTTATGGAATTGTGTTTTGAATCTTTTTGTCAGGTGATTGCGATTACAGTGTTCTGCTTGTTGGGTGTTGCTTATTATGCTTTCTTTGCTCCTTTCGTTGGAGGACGAATCTGGGAGTATATTCTTCTCGGTGTTTACTCTCCTGTGGTATGTTATTTGTATCTCCTCAAGCAAATGATTTGGGAATTTTTTTTAAGGGACGAATCTGTAGTTAGTTCGGGAGTTTGAGGTTTGAATCAATGATAAAGTTTCTCTTTTTATGTGCTAAAATGCTTAAACGCCATGAAAAGTTAGGAACTTTGGTAGTTTGAGATGGCTGATCGGGTTTTCTCTCACGAGACGAATCATTTTGGTTTTAAAGATTTGGGATTTTTAAGGGACGAAATCGTAGTTAGCTCGATCACGAGTTTGAGGTTTGAATCAATGATCAAGTTTCTTATAGACTAAGTCGCTTAAGACTATGAAAAGTTAGGGACTTTGGTAGTTTTTAGATGGCTGATCAGGTTTTCTCTCACGAGACGAATCATATTTGACGCCATTTTTGCTTTGTCTCATGTTTGTGTTTGTTGCAGGCTCTCGTTGTGTTCATTCTCTATGTTCGGTGTACTGCGATCAATCCTGCGGATCCAGGAATCATGTCGAGGTTCGAGAGAGGCGCAAACGGAGGAAGTGACACGCGGCATCATGACTTATCCGGCAAAGATATCTCGAGGAAGTTCGACGAAACGGGAAGCCACCACCTGCAGTCTTCTCCTTCGGTTGCCTCCAGGGCTTCTACTTTACCAGCAAACTCTAGCGTGAAAGGCTCTGTTGGAGATGCTCAAAGAGTGGAACCTGTTGGGAAGAAAACTTGCTTTAATCCTTTGGCGATACTATGCGGCGTGTTTGTTTACGAAGATTGTCGCAAGAAAGAAGAGACGGATGAACAGCAAGGAGACAGAGAAGAAGCTCTGTTTTGCACTTTGTGCAATGCTGAGGTATTGTGCTACAGTTTCATGCTTCTTTGTTCCCTATAATTAGCTCAGGAATGTTGTAAAAGGAAAGAATCAACTTCACCCTTGATTCCTTCTTTATGACAGGTCCGTAAGTTTAGCAAGCATTGTCGAAGTTGCGACAAGTGTGTGGATTGTTTCGATCATCATTGCCGGGTAAATTTTCGTACAATTGACTGTTTCTTGGAGCTGTTTGATATGAGTTTTATGAGTGAGATCAAAAATGACATGGATGTGTTTAAATGCTGCAGTGGCTTAACAACTGTGTTGGTCGCAAGAACTATATCACTTTTATACTGCTGATGGGTGTCAGTCTTCTCTGGGTACGTATATGCTCCTGATATGCTATTTCTCAAGCTCTCACTGTTTTGCTTAACCATTAATCAATAAAAATTTCTCCTTGTCAGCTCCTTATTGAAGCAGGAGTTGGAATTGCAGTTATAGTGCGTGTATTTGTTAATAAGAAGGAAATGGAAACAGAAATCGTCAATAGACTCGGAAACGGGTTCTCTCGGGCACCTTTTGCTACGGTTGTTGTAAGTATTCTTAGTATAATATAAAGTAGCTGCAATAGAGTGAGCTTCTACTGTTGAATGTTCTTGATGCTTTCTTGCAATTTATGCAGGGTCTCTGCACTGCTGTTTCCATTCTGGCATTGTTTCCACTCGGTGAACTTTTCTTTTTCCACATGCTCCTCATCAAAAAGGTGAGTACGGAAGTAGTCAAAATCTCGCTTTTATTTGCTTGTAATGTAATCTATTCACTTTACTGGTATGAATCAATGCTAAGACCCTATAAAAAGCATTCATTGTTACTTTAATCACATAGACAGTTTACATTTGACAATCTTTTTTCTCCCTTTATGATTAAAACCATATGTGGTTATGGTTTGTTTGCATGTGTTAAGCTATGTGTTGAACTCGTTTTTCCTATTTGAAACCAACAGGGCATTACAACTTATGAGTATGTTGTGGCAATGAGAGCAATGAGCGAGGCTCCAGCTGGAGCTTCGGTTGATGAGGAGATGCCTAACATTCTGTATTCTCCTTCTGGATCTGCCACGACCGGCTTTAGCGGTGGAAGCTCCCTCGGTCTACCGTACAAGGGAGCCTGGTGCACTCCTCCTAGAGTGTTTGTTGATTATCAGGTATCTTTTGCTTTTCCAAGAATCTAGCGTCCACTGAGAATCTATTCAGTTGTTTGATATGTCGTCTTGATACTTGTTATTTATGTTACAGGATGAAGTGATTCCTCATTTGGATCCTGGAATGGTTCCATCGACCGTAGATCCGGATGCAGCTGAATCAGCAGAGAGGGGCAGCAAGATCCCAAAGAGACCTGTCAAAATCAGTGCTTGGAAACTCGCAAAGCTGAATTCAAACGAAGCTACAAGAGCAGCAGCCAGAGCAAGAGCGTCCTCATCTGTCCTAAGACCGATAGAAAACCGCCATGCGCAAGACGACGAACTTAGTTCAAGTGGCACCATCAGTGTCACCAGTAGTGTAAGCACAGATGCAAATGGGGCTGCGTTGAGTAAAGAGATGAGAAGCAATGATCCAAGGTTGTCTCTCTCTCGAAACTCTCTTGCTCCAAGCCAAGGTAGCAGGGACGAGTACGAGACAGGGACACACAGTATGAGCAGTTTCAGTAGTCCAAGCCATGTCCACGAGGCCGTCACGCTTAGTCCTCTCCCACATTCTCATACAGCTGGCCACCGCTTCACTGCAGCGGCCTCGTCGAATGGTCCACGACCACCTCTTAATCCAGCAACCAATCACATGATCCACTCGACCTTTGATGATAAGATAATGCAGAAAGGAAACAATGTCGATCCGTTGCTTCACTCTGCTCCTCCTGCAGCTTCTCTTCTGAGAGATGTGAGAAGAACATCAGTTGTTTGGGACCAAGAAGCAGGTAGATACGTATCAGTTCCTGCAACAACATCTGAGGCAAAAACAAGATTCTCCTCACAGAACCAGACTATTCCTAGCGCACACACGGGTAACACTCAGAGACCAAGACCCGTTGTTCTTCCGCCTCAAGATCCTTCATCTGGGAGGGCTCCTCCTCCTCTTCAACCGCAGCAAGGAGAGAGACTTATGTATACAGGTGACTCCATCTTCTTTGGAGGTCCTCTGGTAAATATCCCGAACAGAGATAGTCTGAGAAACGACGGGGACTCAGGAAGAGAGGGACAAGACAGAATGACATTGACATTGCCTCGGGAAGCTAGATTCAGAAGAGACTCGGCCTCAAACCAGCTTCCAGTCTTTGCTCCTGTAGGTACCCGCAAGTAAAAAACCATCACTGTTTCAAGTTCCTTGATCTCGCCGGATAGAAACTGACCCAGGAGAAAGACAGGTAGCTGCTTGAGGTTCAAAATCCATGGGATTCGCTCAAAGGTTGCAGGAAAATGTCCAGGAGTCGTACTATTGTCTGAGACTCTGAGGATTTGTGGTTTAGAGGTTTGGTTGATGAGCTGATGAGGTAGAGAGTAGAATACTTTGTGAACAATTCTTTCCACGGGTTGGGTCTTCTTACATCATTGCTTCGTAGCTCGCTTAAAAAAAAAACCAGTTTGTTGTATGACTCCATGATTCTAACATATTGCTTTTATGATCATTACTTTAAAGGACTAGCTTAGGTTCAAAGTTACATCTTGGATACCGCCTATGACCTATGTCCTTATGTTAATGCATCCAAGGTTTGATGCTAATGGCGAGTAAAAGCTACTAGCTATACGTTAACATCTTAGCAACATGACCGTATTAGGGAAATATAGAATCCGATTCTATATTTCAAGACTAATCCGCCAAGGTAGAGAAAGCTAAAGTAAATTCAAAGCAAGACCAATTTGATTTAGTTCCTAAACATTTTGTCCACATGACATCGAAGAATGATGAACTTCCAAAGATAAAAGATGTTAAAGACTGCAAAGAAGAAAAGGTGTGGTAAGAAAGTGAGAAATAAAAGAAAGAAAAAAGAAAACCAAAAAAAAAGAGAAGACATGCGTTTGATTGATTATCAGGCGTTTACAACAACATTGAAGAACACATTATTACATATAAAATACTCGATCAAATATGAGAGAACCCATGTTACACCAATAAACTGTCACATGACACCTCTTAAATAATTTATTTGTATGTAAAAACTGAAAGAATTAATAACATAATTGATAAATTCTGGTCATTTGACCCCCATAATATCGAGATATGCTTCTCACCTAGTAGATTTTGACACCATTACAATAAACTTCTGGCTTCTCCACTGGTTGACTTGCGGTTGAACTTGGAACACAAAGTGACAACTCTTGGATCATCGTCATCTCCTGTTTATCCCGAAACAAGATTGTCGCAGTCTTTAAGCGACAAACATGTCTCAAGATGTACTTCACCACATCTATCTCTTCTTGCGATCCATATATCCCCGACCACTTGAAAGTTTCGAGGCTTGACAACAAACATGTAGGAACAAAATCCAGTTGATCATTCTGCCAGGAAACTAGTGGATCCACACTAGAAGATTTATGAACCTGATATCAAAAATGAGAGTTGGCTTAAGCATTACAGTAAACAAAAATAAAAAGGAGAATAGGATCTATATCGAAGAAACTTACATCATTTATATAGATCTCGAGCTCTCGCAAATTTGGAGAATCTTTCAGTAACCTAAAAAGTAATTTTGACCAGCTTGAATTACATGAACATAGCTTTAGATGCTGAAGCTGGTCGAAGACAATACCCTCAGGATATAGAGCCTGCACATGATTAAAAAAAAATGGAATAAGCAAAGGCTTCAACGTCAAGAAAAACCTAGTTTGGTATGAGACTTATATAGATATAGATGGATAGAAACATATGTTACCTCTTGGGCACTGACTCCAATGCATAATGAAAGCCGCTTGACATATGTGATTGATCTAAAACACTTGTAGATATCAGGGAATGTCGATTCAAAATCCGCCTCCTCCAACTTAGGCATATCTTCAGAATAGTAGGAGTGATGATCATAATCACGATAACTTGGATATTCACTCATATAATCCTGAACCTTGAAATACTTCAAAGAAGGAGTGTTTATCACAACCCCATTAGAACGAGACTCTCTACACATCTTTAGGGTTAGTCTCTGCAGGGCCGGGTCAATTACACTCAATGTAAATGGTTCACCGTCTACCTCAACTTCATCTCGTTCCACAAGTAGATCCTCAGAACAGGGGAAATGGAAAGAAGTTGGTTAATAGTTTTTTCATTTGAGTACTGCAAATGTCGAAGGAACAAAGTCTTCAGGGAGGGGAGAGAAGCCATACGAGGAACTTGCACGAAAATAGTGTGAGCCAGCTTCAAGATCACGAGCGATTTGCAGGTATACAAACTACTTGGTAACCTAACAGGCTTGTAAGGTACAGTTGGAAAACTGATATCTAACTCACGCACGCAGCGAGACACTGCAATTAAAACGCACTTCTCGATAACTTCAGATCTATATGGTCTAAAGTATCCACCGGCAGAGTTAAGTTTGAGACGCAAGCTTTCTATGACATGAGCTCTATGTAATGGCAGATTCAAATTAATAAAATCCCGTAAACTATAGCGTTCCATGTGTGAGTAATTGTCATCATTGTACTCAAGTTTAGGCAACCACATCCAAAGAAACTCCCATCGTTTCGATAAAATACTCATGCTTACAGCAACTTTTGTTGGGAGAAACAATAGTACCTTGACGAGTAGTTCATCAGGCAACTGACTGATGTTGTCCGTATCCATCCTCACAATGATCTCCAAGGTCCTTTTATCGTTCACACAATCACCAATACGTAGAATACATGAGTTAGGTTTTGTTCGAGCCTGCAAGAACAGACGCAGACTCGTATAAGAGAGGAACGGAAGAAAACCTCAGAAAATGATATAGATCGTCTTCACTAGGGCCGGCTGTGATATTTTTAAGGTCTAAGGGCGGAAAACAAAATATTTGGTCCTCTAATTATTATATTTTCTATGACAATTAAGGAAATTTTTATAACGAAGATCGGAAAACGTAAAATGAAAGATATGAAAGTAAAGAAGGCAAGAAAGTTAACGATCGAGTTCAGATACTAGTCCTATGTCTCGCAGGAGAAACTCTCCGGAATCAACTAGCTTCTTGAGCTCAATCCCAAGCTCCTACTGTCCTATAGATGTTACTCTCTCAAATGATTACTCTTTTTATCTGCTTCAACTCGAATGCTCTAGACGATTAAGGATAAAAGAAATTTTAAGCCCTTTTAAAAACAGACCCAAAACCATACGTGTAGACAATGAGAGAGATCTCTACATTAGCTAGTGGGCCTTTGAACCGCACCGGACTCCACCCAAATCTTTTGATTCAATCAGCTACTTCGAGACTCTCTGAATGACATAGAGGTTATTCAATACTTGGCCACTATCACCCTAGCCGTTGAGATCATTCTGAACGATACTGTGATGTAGCTGCATCTCTTTGTCACACACGATGGCACTTGTGTCACATATATTCGGATTTCTTCATTTTTACTATTTTTAATTTATTTATTTGTGTTTTCGTTTTCATTTAAATGTTATGTTTCCTACTAAAAGTTAAGAACATAACTGAGAACATGTATGGCTATAAATTAGCCTATAATGCTTGTAAAGAGAATAATGATATTTGAATTGAATTACTGAATTAGTAATGATTTTTTTTCTTCTAAACCTGAGCTTTTGCAAAAAGAGTATTTTTCAAAACTCAACCTTAATTATGGGTTATCAGTGATAAATCAAATAATATCATCTTTGTTCTCTGGCTTCCCGGGATTTTTTTAGAACAACCTACATCATTTCTAGATTTGGCTCCATCAGGCTCTTGCATCTTGTTCGTCATTCTTCTTTGCCTTTTTTACTAGGTGCGAGGCCTCCTTAATCATTCCTAAATAAATAAATAAAAGACTAAAAAGACTATGCAAATGCATTTTTCTTTTATGATGCAATGATAAGAGGAAAGAAGACTACACAAATATATGACTTGTTACAAAAAGAAGAACCAAAAATGTTAAAGGAATAAGAGAAAAACTAAAACAAAATCGATGCAGAAACCACATATTAATCAGTTTCGAAATATTCAAAATTAAGTTCGCATGTGACTTCAACTAATGTACAATATTTATGTATGTATGCGTATTTGTAAAAAAATTGAAATATAGCTCTTATGTGTTAAAAATGTAAACGGAATTCAGAGGCGACTGAAATCTCACAAACTCTTTTTTGACAGCCACAACTTTGTTAGAATAGGCTAAAGTAATACTACTCGAGACGATTGTCGAAATTACTTTTTTCATAATATTATGCGTTTATGTAATGCAATCCAAAAAATTAAGATATATTTTTTTTTTGTCAAAACAAAACGTTAATTTGTCTCAGATTGTCTCACAGTTTCAGTTTAATTTTCAGTACAATCTAATATACGAATCTTATGGTTATTTTGATAATTGAATTAAAATAAATAAGAAGAAATGATTCAAAATGACATAATGAGAAAATAATGCAAAACATAGATTTCATTAGAGGAACATTATGAAAGTATCTCTTTTCAAAAATATTGTATAAGTGTAACATTATTCTTTTAACTATTTTTGTATGTAGATTAATAGCATACGCCAGACTATCTGTAACGCTCCGACTATCTTTATTGGTGAGGCTCCACGTCCGTTTTCGGGCCCGTAGGCCCATCGTCTCACGGTTGGTACATTAGCCGGAAAGTTCGAGAGTTATGATATACTGATCCCACAATCACTACACGATCTTTTTTTCGTGTTTTGTCCTTATTCACATGATATCAAAAATTACTCACTCACACGATATCAGAAATCATTTCCTGATAAGTCATTCATCTTAATGCTACTGCAGCTTAAGCATGCTTAACTAGAGTTCTCCCAAAGCCAATGAGCAAAAAGATAAGCACACTTTGATGATATAGATAGTTAAATCAATTTTCTCAAGCCTCTCCACATATACATTCATATTTTTAAAATCAAGATGTTACAATTCACCTCTACTCATTAAGCGCAACATCCTCGTTACACACTAGGATCGTTACCCTTGACAGTGTGAGCTCTTATGACTTTACACTCTTGTCTAAGTTTCGCTCTAATATCATTTGTAACACCCGACCGACCCTACCAGCGAGGCCCCACGTTTGCTCTCGGGCACATGGCCCCGACCCTACCAGTGAGGCCCCACATATGCTCTCGGGCACATGGCCCCACGATTCGTTAGCCGAGAAGCTCGAAAATCATGATATACTGACCCTGCAACTATCATGCAATCTTTTTCTGTGTTTGGTCTTCACTCACACGATATTGCAAATCACTTCCCGATAGGTCACCCATCTTAATGTTACTCTAACTCAAACACGCTTAATTATAGAATTCTCCAAAGACTAGTGACCAAAAAAATAAATACACTTTGCTAACATAGATAGCTTAATCAATTTTCTCAAGTCTCTCTACCTACACATTTATATTTTTTAAATCAGAATGTTACACTACTTACAAACTAATACAACTGAAAGTAGATTATATACAAATTAATGACTGACCGAATATAAATCAACAACAGACTAACCATAGGTAAAAGACGCAATAGTAAATTTCTCTTATGAATTGTTTTAGGAAAAAATCATATTTTATAATAAAATTGTCAAATAGAGTATTTAAATTAATGATTTTTAAAACAAATGTCAAGAGAAAAACATTTATTTTATTTCCTTGATATTAATATTGACTAAACGAAAACTTTAAAAGGAAATTAATCTAAATAAGAGTATTATATTGCGAATACAACTGTAAATATCTTATCTGTCTCTACGTAATCTTTCGTGTCTCCTTGTAAATACCTACAACAAGCATATATAAACCTTCATCCTCTCATCTCGCTTTACTCTTACATCAAGTCAAAAGGCATCATCTCTTTCACGTGTCTCTGTTCTTCACAAGAGAATCCATGAGTATCCATCTCCTTCTTTAGCAACCCAATCGATGGAGAGATCCAATCTATTACCATCTGACGCAGGAGACAAAAGTGTTCACGATGATGCGATCAATACTGATGATCGAATCAGCAAACTCTCAAACGATCTATTGCTTAAGATCATATCTCGACTGTCCATTAAAGAAGCCATTACGACAGGTTCTCTATCAAGCCGATGGGAACATGTGTGGAAGAAGATGTCTCATCTCTTCTTGGACATGCGAGGGTTCTCCAAAATAGGAAGTCTTCTTACCAATGTTACAGACCATCATGCCGCTAGATCGATGACCAAGGTCCATTTCTTTTTCTCATCATAATATACAGTTTTTCTTATGGCTTTTTGGATAAATAAATTACATGAATAGTTGTATAAACTGATGATCTAGGTTGATGTTAATGTTATATTACAAAACCATGAGGTATTTCATGAATATATTTTCTATTTTTTAGATCAAATTACAGGAATTTTGAAAAAAAGTACTCTATTTAAACATGTTTGGTGTTGTTTTATTGGATTTTTATTTTGAATTTCACACATTTATGAATGAAAGATTAAAGATGATGGTATTTCGCACATAAAAGTTAGATTTTGAAAATTTTATGATCAATGCATTTGAAATTAAATATATATAGACCGTGAATTTGTTGTTTTCGTAGTTAATAGGAAATCTTGGAAGACATAAATCTCTTGCCTTGTTCCATCTAGAACAAATACTTGCATACAAAATGTATTGTTAATACGTCATGTGCAAACTCCTTCAATTCTTTGTCTCTCTTGTTTATCCTTTTTAATCTAATTTCAATTTCTTTGGTTAGAATAGTCTGGTTGTTCTTAATTTGGTATTTTGCATCTTCGTTGTAATCTTTACCCCTGCAATTTTAATAGAATATCTTTTTCAAAAAAAAAAATGTATTGTTAATATTATATTTATCATGATCTTCTATTGTATATTAATTTTAACATTTTTGCTTTCGGTTATTTTGTTGTTTTGTAAGAAATGGTGTGTATCCGATATGATCAATGCGTCATATACTTCACATTAATATATATACTAAATTCGTTTCTTTATGTTTTTTATACCACATAAGAAACATTCATTTCCTAAATCATTATTTGGCCTTGTAGGTTATAAACGATCACCGTGGCCATTTGGAAAGATGCACAATCTATTATTACCCATTCCAATGTACAAACGCGATGGTCGAGGCTTGGATTCGATCATTGATTCATGTGAAACACGTTAAGCATCTCACACTTGTAAACTTTATCTTCTCATTAAGACCGCCCAAGAAACCCATCACTCTCGACTTGCCCTCAGAAACATTTTCCCATCCAAACCTCCAAACACTCATCTTAGGCCGGTTTAACTTCGAAACTCCTCATGCTTTCAACAACTGCGGGAATCTAAAGACTCTAACACTCGCAGGCATATTCGCCCAGATTGGAGTCTTGAACGTAGTCCTAGTGTCTTGCCCTTCTCTCGAGGTGCTTGTGGCAAATGTCCATAGCCACAAAGGAAGTGGTCTTCTGAAAATTGACAACCGCAACTTAAGGTTCTTGTATTTATCCTGTTATCAAGTTGATGGCATTCATGTGTCTTCACCAAATCTGGACGTCCTCATCATCGAGTCTCTCTCGTGTGAGATAGAGAACTTCATCATTGTGAATCCTAGATTCCAGTTTCACAGAAACTATCGGGCTACAGGAAGGTTTTATCCTCACACCAGCTATATTATACCTTGCCCCCATCAGGTATATATATATTTGTTCCATTAGATTGTATTATGATAGAGAAAAAATGATGCTAATTAATACTTAATTTCACATATCTATGGATCGAAGGAGAAAAAAAGCATTGGACATGAATTCATGATGAGTGGATCTCGTCACTTTGTGAAAAATTCTGAGGCGATGTCGGTCAGTGTAGACTTGACAAATACAAAAGAAGTCGAGATGCTACAAGAAATCTTAGTTTCATGGCCTGGAAAAATGGAAGAACTTGAGATCTTATCCAAGGTACGTTCATTTTCATGTTTTGAATAATAATTGGATGGATATAAGTAGCCATGTTTCTGTTTCTCATAACGTTTACCTTTACTGAATACATATCTAAATATCCAACACATGTTTTTGCATATATAGAAAAGCAATGCTCCGAGGAAAGAAGTTGAGAGTTCTAGTAGAAGAACACAGAAGACGTTTTGGGAAGAGATAAAACCGTTTCCTGACGCTTACTTCAGTGTATCTATTCTATGGCTGTCTAACTTTAGCGGTTCAAAAGAAGAGTTTGCGTTAGCCTCGCGTTTGATAACGCAAGGGACGGTGATCAAGACCATGATAATCAAACCACATTCTTCGTTTTCTACAAGCAACAAGTTGGAGATAGAGGAGGCTGTGGCCAAGCTAAATGATCTTCCAAAAGGTCACACAGAGCTTGATATCGTAATGGTGTGATAAATTTGGTTTGAATCCGACTAATTCGTGATAGAAAGAGAAAAAACCCTTTACAATCGTAGTATTGCATTTGTTTTGATGTTTCAGACATTTGGAAATTTGTATGGTTTCAAGTATTGCATTTGTTTGATGTTATAGACATTTGGAAATTGTATGGTTTTCAAGTATTGCATTTGTTTTGATGTTTCAGACATTTAGGATCTACTTAATTTGTATTAGTTTTAATATTATCTGAATGTCTTGTTGAGTTAATATTATGAAAGAGTTTATATAAATCCCTTCAAAATTATCTTTTACACAGTGGCATTTATATAGACTCTTCGATCTGACAAAAACAAAATCTTCTCCGATCTTGTTCTAGAAAGGTATCTAAGTTTTGTTTTCTTTTTAACCTATTCAGTTTTCTCTTTTTATTTTGGTTTAAAGTTATTCGATTCTCCCATATATAAGGAATGATATTTTCTTCTTTCTAAGTAAATCACAGTAGAAATTCTATAAATTAATATTCGATAAATTAATAAACTCGATAAATCAATAATTTTACTCGGTTCCAAATTGGACTGGTTCAAAATTTAATACAAATCGATAAATTAATAAGATAATTTTTTTTTTTGAAAACCTACGTAAAATATAATCCCATTAATATCATAAATTAATAAATAGTATATAAAATAATTTTATAAAAATATATAATTATGATAATCTATTAAACTATGATTATATTGTTATTTTCATATTAAAATTAAAATATTTTTATTATTTATTTCTAATTTTATAATAAAAAATTTAGAAAATATTATTTTTATTTAGTTATTAATATACAATTAACTTTATTTAAAACCTATAAACTAATAACTCTATAAATTAATAAAATATCAAAGTCCCAGATGAAACATTTCTCAATATAAAAGCAACAAGCATTTCTTAAGATATATTTCTCCAGATCCACCTCTCTTTCTGCGATCCATAATATACGTCCATTGGAGGTAAGAGTGGTTGTATTTGATGATCTCAGTGCTAAAAAAAATGAAGTTGTGGATAAGCTTTCTTTGATATCTCCCGAAATAAGAATGCTAGACTGAAATTGATAGGAGATCTCTACATTGCTAGGAGATCTATTCAAAATTTCTTATACCCTAGAAACGAGTTCAAGTCTCTTCTTCATTAAAGACTTGAACCGCAAGTCAACCCGTGTACTATTTTTATACTTTAATACTAGGTGATCGGCCTACACCGTATGTAGACTATAAAATATTTAATATATTTTATTATTATTAGTATAGTATTGAAAATGTTTCATTTACATATAATTAATTATGTATTAATAATAAAAATATTAAATTAAATATAAAATGTTAAATATTTCAAAAGAAAATGAAGATTAAATATATTAACGAAGACTTTAACATATGTCCTTAGATCAAAAAATGTAAATATGATAACTAAATAAATAGAAAAACTTGAAAATCTAAAATTATTTATTTAATTATTATTATTTGACTCGCACGAATGTGCATATATAAATTTTTAGACATAATTAGTTGTAATATTTAAGTATTGATTAATTTTCTTATACTGTATGTAAACGTTATGTTTATATACATATACATTTTTAGTGTTCAACAACAATCACACAAACGTTTCCTATTTTTTGTGTCTTTTGAAGTTTTTTTATATTTTCTAGCTTTTACATTAATAAATAATTGCAAATATAAAAGTTATATTAAATAATAATTAAATTTTTATATTATCTATACTATACTTTTACACAATATAATCTTGCCAATATATATATATATATATATTGTAACTATTTTTTTCCTTGACATATTGCTAATTAAAGCAAAATGAATTTTACCATATTTACTTATCCTAAGAGCGGGTAGATGGTTGGTCTGCAAATTCGTGCATACCAACCACCTCACCGCTTTTAGGACATATAAAGATTTTTTTAAAAAATATAAATTGTCTAACAACTAAAATTAAAATTAGAGTGTAATTGAGGTTAACAAAATATATGCATGTAAGTTTGACTTTTACATAATTAATATTTATATCTACACGCACATTTGTACAAAAAATCGAAGTATGACTTTTATGTGTTAAAAGAAAATAACAAAGTATATGTTTTGTAATCCATATTTTTATATCGTATGGTTGATTTGTTTTTAAAAAAAATAATAAGTATATTTATGCATTTAGGTATAAGTTAGAAATAAGTGAATTGTGATATTTAGGTATTGGTAAGTTTTTTTTAATATTTTCTGTAAACGTTGTGTTTTTATACGATGCAGTTATTGACGTTTAACAACAATCACGAAAAGCGTTTCTATCGTTCTGTATCTATTCAAAGAAAATATATTTTTCAGCGTTTTATGATATATGGTTTCTCAATAGAAATATAATAAATATTTGTTATTAAATTTGTAAAATCATATTTTATAAAATTTTCCAGTAGCTCTCCGCTCATCTCTTCGTCAAAATTTTTAATAATCCGCAATCACTCACTTCCACAAACTATGTGTAACATAATCGTTTAAGCCAATCAGATCTAAACTTATTTATGTATTATTTAAAGTGTTAAATAATATATTTAATATTTGATTGTTATATTAAAAATTAAGAGTTGATCTGTTCCTAACTTTAATATATTTGTTAATACAAAATATAATGGATCACAACATATACAAAAAAATTGATTCATAAAATAATATTTTAATATGCTGGAAAAATATATGCATGAAAAAAAATTAATATGTTTAAGATAATATTTTTAAATATTTGAAATAAAAATAAAATCGATTCTTATTTTTTCTCTTCTTTGACTCATATTTTTTTAACATTTAATAATATATTTAACATTAAGATCATCTCAAATGTATTTTTTTTTTATTTTTTTCTCTAAAATATAAGTTGACTTCTCTCCAACCTATTTCTATTTTACAAAAAAAGAAAGATTATTATTTTTTCATCTATAATTAAAAAATGTAACAACCTTTCTTTTTCTTCTAAATTAGAACATTTAAAATAAATGTGAGTTGGAGATGCTTTAAATCAAAAATATAACCTCAGATTTGTATATAAAGCCAAAGTCATAAATATTTATTTTGTACTTTTACTTCTACTTTTTATTCATATATACAATATTATAATAACAAAAAGTTGGCTAAGAGGATACTTATAATTTATTTTTCTCTCTGTTTATTTTTTTGTTTTATTTATAATTTTGAATTCTTGCTATATAATGAAAATTTATTCACATATGATATAAACTTTTTTTCTTATTTAAAAATGAGATTTATTTAGTTTTAACTTAATCAATCAAAATATTTTGTTTATTTTAGGAAATTTGCCATGTCACATTTATGACATGACATTGTTTTACACTAACTTTTCTTTAGGTGTTGACACATAAAATTTTTTTAGTAAACATGCTTCTCAAATAATAGTTAGGATATAACCCTATACTATACAGTGAAGTTGGAAAATGATGTGAAAATCGGCATATCTATGTCTATATAAGTGCAAGTCCGAATCCTATATATTATTAAATGAATGTTCAATCAAATACGAGTTGGCATGTTTTTGAACCTCGAAAAGAAGTGACAAATCATGTATCACCATCTCAAGTTCATCCTCTTCCTTTGCACTATTAGATGACAGAAACAAAACCTTTAGGCTAAGAGCATCTCTCAAGACATTCTATCAGAACTATCTTTTTTTGCGATTCATATGTCCACTTGAAAGTTTGGAGGCTTGTCTTCAGAATAGAAAGTAGCTATGATTATCATTATTATAATTAGTTTCATCCTTATAATCCGTAACTTTCAAATACCTCAAAGAAGGAGTGTTTATCACAAGACTTTCAAAAATCAAAATCATAGTTTCTAAATATCGTTAGGGTTAGACTATAAGAGAGATCTAAAGACTTCTAACAATTACCGGCCAATTGACAAATAGACATTCACGAGTACAACGACACGTGTAGCCAATGAGAATGAGTACATTATCTACCTTTGCTAGTAGACCTTTGAACCGTACCAGACTCCACCGGAATCCTTGATTCACTTAGCTGACTTCCACTATGAATGACCTAGAGGTTCTTTGATACTTGGCCTATATCACCTTAGCCGATGAGATCATTGTGAAGTGAAACGATACTGACTCACTCAGCTTGTTTTTCATTTTCATTTGTCCTTTTTCCTACTTGCCAAGCTTCCTAAATTCTATGGTATGTAAAAATAGATTCAAAAGACTATGCAAATGCATTGTTTACAACCTAAAGAACCTATGGTGCATGAGAAGATAAAAGAAACCCCAAGTACATGATTTTGTTACAAAAAAATGCAAGAATGCCAAAGAAATAAGAGAGTTACAATCAATTTCAAAACATACAAAATAATGAAATCGAAAACACAGAGATGACTGAAATCTCACAGCCGTCTTTTTCTCGACTGCCACAACTTTGTTGGATAAGGCCGGAGAACGTAATGACTACTTGAGATGCAGTCCAAAAAAATAATTAAGGGTATGACTTCAAAATTATTTTTCACGCCAAGTGGATAGTAAAAAACTTGCTATCAGGACCTGTATTTTTTTTTTTTTTCAAATACTTTGCATATTATTGACAAATGGAGGTCATTTCGAGGTCAAATTAATGTTTCATCCTTTCAGATAACATCCAACAAACCTATCCGATTTTCTATACCATTTTGTCAAAATTTTTGTAGTTATTAAGGATTTGCCATTTTCTAATAATAGAATCACAAATTGCTATTTTGCTAATTGAATCTAAAATACCGTATAACACACAAACACGCACATAAACGTGTATATATACATGCATCATGTAGATTTCTTGCATAAATTAGAATGGCATGTTTAGAATGACATGTCATTCTGATTTATGCAAGAAATCTCCATGATGCACCAGAAGGAAAGGAAGACATTTTCGGTCATATATATCTAAAATATTACTTTTTACAAGTATTCAAACATATCTCGTTAAGTTTACCTACCAATGTCACTTGAAAACAATAAAGTTATATTGACCAAATGAAAATTCAGAAAGGAAACTAACTTGCGGAAACAACTGTAAATATTTTTTTTGACTCTACTTAATCTTCTGCCTCTCCTCGTAATAAACTACGACAAGCATATATAAACCTCCATCCTCAACTCGCTTTATATACCCTTATACGTGAAGAACCACAAGTCAAAAAGCGTAATGTCTTTCCCGTGTCTCTGTTGTTCACAAGGACCCGTCTCCTACTTTAGCGATGAATCAACGGAGAGTTCACTACCATCTGATGCACGAGACAAAGATGTCCTGGACGATGCGGTCTATACCGAAAATCCATTCAACAAACTCTCAAACGATCTATTGCATAAGTTCATGTCGAGCTTGTCCATCAAGGAAACCGTTAGGACAGGTTCTATATCAAAGCGATGGGTGAATGTGTGGAAGGATATTCCTCATCTTTCCGTGGACCTGCGAGAATTCTCCGATATCATAACCCTTTTGACCGATCGTACTCATCACCATGCCGCTAGATCGATGACCAAGGTCCATTTCTTTTTCTTATCAGAATAGTTTATCTTATGGCTTTTTGGATAGATAGAGTATACGAATAGTGGTACAAAACGATGATCTATGTTTATTTTATATTACAAAACCTAAGATAACCCATGAATTCATTTTCTATTGTTTGCGATCAAAATCCATGATATTAAACATGTTTCATGTTGGTTTTGTTTTGTTTTGAAAAGGTTTGGTATGTTAAAATAATTTCGCAGGTAAAAAAGTGGATTTTCTATTTCTTTTTTTTTTTATGATCAGTTTATTGGAAATTGGATATATAGACCGTGAATTTGTTAGTATGTAGTATTTACTTAACATTTGTGCTTCCGGTGATCAATCTTTTTGTTTCGGATAATTTATTGCAATTTATTTGTAAATAATGGGATGTATCCAAAAGTTCACAGTTAATGCGTCATTTATTTTACAATATAAATTGGTTTCTTTATGTTTTTTTTATACCACACAAGAAATTAATATACATGTCCTACATCATTCTTTGGCCTTGTAGGTTATAAACGATCATCATGGCCATTTGGAAAGATGCACGATCAGTTATTTCTCATTCCAATGTAGAAACGGGATGGTCGAGGATTGGATTCGACCATTGATTCATGTGCATCACGTTAAGCATCTCACAGTTGTAAACTCTCTTTTCTCTTTTTGTGGAAACAACAGACCCCTCACACTCAACTTGCCCCCAGAAACATTTTCCCATCCAAACCTTCAAACACTCATCTTAGATCAGTATAACTTCGAAACTCCAGATGCTTTCAACAACTGCGGAAATCTAAAGACTCTAACACTCGCTGGCATTTTCGCCGAGATTGGAGCCTTGAACGCAGTCCTAGTGTCTTGCCCTTCTCTCGAAGTGCTTGTGGTAGATATCAGTAAAGAGCAAGGACTTGATCTTTTAGAATCTAGTTCAGAAAAAAAAAGAGGTGGTGTTTTGAGAATAGAGAATCGCAACTTAGTGTGCTTGTATTTATCTTGTCCTGAAGTTGATGGCATTCATGTGTCTTCGCCAAATCTGGACGTTCTCACCATCGAATATGTCTCGTGTGAGATAGAGAAATTCGTCATTGCAAATCCTAGACTCCAGTTTAGTCGAAACTTTTGGACTACAGCAAAAGTATTTCCTCACACCAGCCATTGTATATCATGCCCCCATCAGGTATGTATATACATTTCTTTTGCATTCAAATGTATTATAATATATTACAACTGGTGCTAACTACCACTTCATTTGACATATTTATGACTCCAAGGAGAAGAAAAACATTGGACATGAATTATTGATGGGTGGACAATTCATGATGAGTGGACATGGTGACTTTGTGAGACGTTTTGGATCGCTTTCGGTGAGTGTAGACTTGACGAATGCAAAAGAAGTTAAGATGCTACAAGAAATCTTAGTTACATGGCCTGGAGAAATGGATGAACTTGAGATCTTATTCATGGTACGTTCATTTTCATGTCTTGAATTATAATTGGATGGATAGAATCACCCATGCATGTTTCTGATTTTTCGTAACGTTTGCTTGTAAGCAATACATACCTAAATGTCTCACCCATGATTGTTTTTGGGGTTGAGTATATAGAAAAGCAATGCTCCGAGTAAAGAAGTTGAGAGTTCTAGTGGAGGAACACAGGAGACGTTTTGGGAAGAGACAAAACCGTTCTTCAGCGCTAAATTCTTTGTTTTTACTGTATGGCTGTCTAACTTTAGCGGTTCAAAAGAAGAGTTTGCGTTAGCCTCGCGTTTGATAACGCAAGGGACAGTGATCATGACTATGATAATCAAACCGTCGTCGTTTCTTCCAAGCGACATGTTGGTGATAGAGGAGGCAGTGGCCAAGCTGAAGGAACTTCAAGGTTTCCCAGACCTTAGTATCCGCATGGGATGATGAGTTTTGGTTTGAATCCAACTATTCTTGATAGAAGAGAGAGCCTTTACAATTTGGTTTTAAAAATTATGCTGTTTCTTTTTCTTTTCTTTTTTCGGTCAAACAGAAATTATGCTGTTTCAAGTATTGCTTTGTGGTATTTGTTTTGATTTTTAGACATTTTGGATCTTATTAGTTTTAATATTATCTGGCTGTTTTGTTGGGTTATTATCTCATTGTCCTGTCGAGTTTTTGTCTTGCTCGATGCTTTTACACAGGGGATTTGTTATGGTCAAATGAGTTTCTCTTGCAAAAAATACTAGTTAACGTAATGCATAAGATAAATATATAGAGAACATTTTACTTGAAACATATTAAAATATATACATATATATAAAAAAACATCTAAATGCTCAGTCGAGTTTGGCATGTTTTTGAACCTCGAAAAGAAAGTGCAAATGATGTATCAAGAAACAGCTGAACCTTGAAAAAGGTCCTAGATCTTGAGAAAGGATTTTTGGATGTTTATTAAGAAACAGCTGAACCTTGGAAAAGGCTGCCTATGTACCCTTTTGAAGGGATCAAGCCAATCGTAGTTCATAATAAAAGAGTTAGATAGATGAAATCTAGAGAAAATAAGATCTTCTCCAAGTGTGGAGATTCTTGGATGATTAGAAGATATTCTGAGAAGTGAATGACTTCTTTATTTATAGCCCGACAAGGTCGGTCTTCTGGAGATACCTTCTCCTGTTGAAATAGGAAAACTTCCTTCTTGATAAGGCCGACCTTGCATTTTTTCCGGAACTTGATCAGATAAATAGAAGATTTCCTTTTATCTTGCCGACCTAAATATTCCTTAGAGTTTTGGAATTGGCCTATCTCAATTGATGTAGGGATTTGAGGGGGTACGAAATCCATCTCTAACAGTTAGTACCCCCCCCCCCCCTTTCCCTCAGTTCGGCAAGCGAATGAGTATTGAGCTTGGTGAATTAAAAGAGACAGTTCGTCATGAATTGAGATCGGACCATTCCAACACCCTAAGGAATATTTAGGTCGGCAAGATAAATGGAAATCTTCTATTTATCTGATCAAATTCCGGAAAAAATGCAAAGTCGGCCTTATCAAGAAGGAAGTTTTCCTATTCAACAGGAGAAGGTATCTCCAGAAGACCGATCTTGTCGGGCTATAAATAAAGAATTCATTCACTTCTCAGAATATCTTCTAATCATTCAAGAATCTCCACACTTGGAAAAAATCTTATTCTCTCTAGATTTCATCTATCTAACTCTTTTATTATGAATTACGATTGGCTTGATCCCTTTAAAATGGAACGTAGGCAGCCTTTCTCAAGGTTCAGCTGTTTCTTAATAAACATCCAAAAATCCTCTCTCGAGATCTAGGGCAAACTAAGCAATCTTATTGTTCCTAGTTCTTGATTTTATTTTCATAAACAGTTTAGGTCGGCGTTCTTATTCCAATGACCTAAACGACCGTGTATCTCTCGAGCTCCGGCTTAAACTTAATAAAGATCTCTCTTTAAACCCACAAAATCTTATTCTTTCTATAGATCAAATTTGAGTTTTTACAGTTGGCGCCGTCTGTGGGAAGTAAGAGATTAAATCTTTAAAAAAATCGCAGCTCGAAGATGATCGAAACACCATCCATCGATCATAATACCACCGGTCTCACCGAAGACAACACTGCAGCTCGTCTCCCTTGCAACCCGTCCTCATCGCAGCTCGTTGTCCTTGCAGCTTGTTGCCCTCGCAGCGCATTACCCTCGCAACCCGTCCTCATCGCAGCTCGTTGCCCTCGCAGCTTGTTGCCCTCGTAGCTCGTCGCCCTCACAGCTCATCTCTGAAAAGACATTGCCATCAGTTCGTCTCCTTCAAGACATTCATTTAAGCTCATCTTTGTGAAGACATTCGCTTCAGCTCGTCTACTTGACGCTCGCTTCAGATCGAGGTCTCTATCTAGGAACCGGATCGGATTCTGCATCTTGCAATCAGATCGGGATCATCAACTCGCTTCATACTGCCATCTTAAATTAGACCATGGCTTTCATATCCTTTCAGGTCGTCTTCTTTGATTCGCCCGTGCTCAGCTCTCCATTAGATGAGCTCTCCCAACAGCTCGTCTGCTTAAACAATTCGTTAGTTTAAGCAGCTCGTCAAGTCGTCGATCTCACATCTGAGATCGTCGGTCTTTAATCTCAGATTCATAGCTCGTCTGGCCTTCGATCTCACATCTGAGATTGTCGGTCTTCAATCTCAGCTTTCCAGCTCGTCAAGTCGTTGATCTCATATTTGAGGTTGTTAGGTTGTCGACCTCACAGCTGAGGTCACCGGTCTTCAATCTCAGCTTCATAGCTCGTCAGGTCGTCGATCTTACATCTGAGGTCGTCAAGTCGTCGATCTCACATTTGAGATTATCAAGTCGTCGATCTCACATATGAGGTCATCTGTCTTCAATCTCAGCTTCACAGCTCGTCAGGTCGTCGATCTCACATCTGAGGTCGTCGTTCTTTAACCTCAGCTTCTCAGCTTGTCAGGTCGTTGATTTCATATCTGAGATCGGTGGTCTTCATCTCAGCTCGTCAGATCGTCGATCTTTAAACTCGTTTTCACATCTCAGCTCATCTCCTTTAAACCAGGTCATCGCTTGTATATCAGGCCGTCTTCTCTGGATCACTCTGCTTCAAATCATCGCCTTTAAATCTCCTTCGTCATTCCAAATGTATTAGGTCGGCCTATCAGCCCATTCATTATCAGGTCGGCCTATCAGCTTATCCATTATCAGATCGGCCTATCAGATCAGCCTATCAGCCCATTCATTATCAGGTCGGCCTATCAGCTCATCCATTATCAGATCGGCCTATCAGATCAGCCTATCAGCTCTTCTATTATCATTCGGCCTACCAGCTCATCCATTATCAGATTGGCCTATCAGATCAGCCTATCAGCTCTTCTATTATCAGGTCGGCCTATCAGCTCATTCATTATCAGATCGGCCTATCAGCTCATTCGTTATCAGGTCGGCCTATCAGCTCATCCATTATCAGGTCGGCTTATCAGCTTGTTCATTATCAGATCGGCCTATCAGCTCATCCGTTATCAGCAACGATTACTTTGCTTTTCCAAGCCGATCTCACATGGTCGCAAATAAAACCGATCTAACATCTGACCGCAATCCAGGCCGACCTCACATGGTTGAAAATAAAGCCGATCTAACATCTGATCGCAATTCAAGCCGATCTATTGACACTGTTCAATAAGTCACACTACCATCAACTCTTCATCTACCAACTGTCTACACATCGACGTTCTGGCCAAACGTTCGATACGCCTATAGCTAAGTCTGATCCACTTAGCTCAGCACACTTAAAGCCAAGATCCGTCTTGCACGCGTACAAACGCCGCAATTAACCTACATATAAGCTGATTTATTTTACAAAGTCCAAGTCATATAATAGTAGTAAGCCGAGCCAGTCTCGCACTTTATATTCGATATGGATATTTCTAAGTGGTACTAATAGAAAAACGCCGACCTGATTCGCATATTAGTATTCACACTTAGAAATTAAGTGGTACAAACAAATGTAAGCCGAGCCTCTCGCACGTTTGTATTCACACTTCCTTTAAGCCGGAACCTGTTCCGCACTCCTAAGTCATGCAAAACTATTAAGCCGACCTGATCGCACCTTGCATTCGACTTTGGAAAATTTATAAGTCATGTAAACAAATAAAACCGAACTCATCTCGCTGGTTAACATTTAGACTTAGAAATATTAAGTCATACGAACAATTTAAAGCCGATATTGCATCGCACGTTCGTATTCGACTCTAACAAAAGCCGAGAACACCTCGCAATCATATTATAGATTGAGCCGAGCATAGTCTCGCACGCGAGTATATATCAAGCCGAGTTCCTTAGCTTGTTATACTTCACTTCAGCTCGGCAAACTTCACTATACACACCAATCTCGAAAAATATACGCCATCAAATAGCCGACCTGAAAAGCTTAGAGAAGTGATGCTTTATTTTTTCTAACTCTTGGAATGGTCCGATCTCAATTCACGCCAAACTGTCTCTTTTAATTCACCAAGCTCAATACTCATTCGCTTGCCGAACTGGGGGGGGGACTAACTGACGCCGTCTGTGGGGAACTGTAATGGAGATGTTAAATTAATCCAATCAAAACCCTTCTTACAATGAATACATCGCTTGTATAGAAATCAAAACGAAAGAAAGAAGCTAATTACTTTACACCCAAGAAATCACCGGAATGAGAACCAAGTATGCATACCTTCTTCATACCCCTGATCTCCTTGCCTTCGAATTGTTGTCAGTCTGTTTCAGACTTGCTTGTCAATCCACTGAACTATTTGAGGAGGCTCACCATATCTTCTACCATTCCGTTTTCTCCATAGTGAATGAATTGCCACCTGAAACACATATTGCAGTAGAAATAGAGATGTATAGTCTCCTGTTTCATCCGTCAACAGCTCTTGAATCTCTTCCCAAGCAGTTGTATAATCAACAGCCAGCATCTTCTGTGTTAGAGCTCCCCATTTTTTCTTCTCTTTCGTTAATTCTCTCGGCCTCTTCTTTATTTTATTTTTCCTTTTCTCTGTTCACACTTCTTCTCTTCGTTAATTTTTTTTATGCACAAACGACGGCGACAAATCAAGCCCCCACCGATCGAGCTTTGAGTCTCACTCAAATTAAGGCTCAGATCCCAATTATTCTTGATATGAATCAAATGAATTACGATATTTGGCGTGAACTCTTCGAGACGCAATGCCATAGTTTTAATGTTCTTGACCATCTCGACGACACTTATGTTCCCACTACTCCAGAAGACATACAATGGTCTCAAATCAATGGCACAATCAAGATGTGGATATATGGAACAATATCCGAATCACTCCTGAAATCCGTTTTGAAGACAAAGTGCACGGCGCGTGACTTATGGACCACAATCGAGAATCTCTTCCGCGACAACAAGGACGCTTGGACAA